GTATCCAGAAAGACTTGATTGCTTTTGTAACCTCATGCAATCTGTTTTTTTGAAATAGGTTTAAGAGCAGCATCAATACTTGTCGCATGTTTAGAAATTGAGTTGGAGAGAAGATCATACTGGTGGTCACGATGAGCATGAGAAACCAGGCAATAGCTGCAAATATCACTGGTCACACTGCTCGCAGTAAAATCTGCTTCTTTTTCTGGGTGGTCCGGGCAGAAAAGATCACCACACTCTATTCTTTAGGATCTCTTTCATTTCAAGCAATGTGTCGAGGTAAAAAGCAGCTTGAAGTCCTGAAACTCCATCCGTTTTGGTAGTATTGTTTCCTGCGACAGTTTGGACATGTAATATATGATCTCCGTCTTCTCAAAGTTTCGAGGCACTTTTCAACAAAACACATGGAAGCAATTGAGAATCTTTGGCCTTTGTAGGGTTGAAAGCATATCCCACATAAGGTTTTATCTTCAATCAGCCGAAATAACTGTCTCTGCTGGCAGTAGGAGGTTTTGTGTCCAAAAGATCTTCAGCAGTCCAGGCGTTTAGTTGCCATTGCTTTGAGTGGACTAGAAAAACTACTAACAAACTGCAGTCCAGTGTATATATGCTAGGGCTCACTCTACGTATGACAATATACCCGTAGAATAGACTAATGAATATTGACAGAAGTGGCGTGATTTGATATCAGCAGTATTCACATCAAGTGCAAAGTGTTGACCTTTAGTATATTATATTATGTCGCATACGGCCACGTTATTGACATTCATTTACCTGGTATTTGCGGTAAGCTAGACACCTTTAGACCTGTGCTGCAGATTCATGGGGTGTTATATACCTTCAAATGGCAGCACCGCATGCATGGTCAATGTGATGCAAGTAAAGTGAGGTAGCTAAAAAACCTAAACAACAAGTTCAGAACTTCGTCTGATGAATTGCAGTGTTGGCCAAAAAATCTATATAGCAGAACAAAGATTGTTGTATATGCCATTTACACATGCAGGTTTTACAGTTTCTAGCTCTATGCCTATATACCCAATCTACTTTAAAAGAATTGAGTGGTGGAGACCTCTCCAGTAATGATCTGGAGTGTAGCTAGTCTGAGACAATAGTTTCATCTTGAGGACCTCACGTTATACACCACGTACTGAGCCAGCTTCAATTTCTGCAAAAGGTCTCTGCCACCAGGAGAGAGAAACTGATCTTTGGCGTCTGTCTAGGACTCTTGAGAAGTATCCAGTAGTCACAGTAAATGATTCGAGAAGGGACATATATACATATTAGGGATGGTACTTTTGTCTCCTTGGAACCTGCCCACGAATGAAATGCCAATGTGATAAGCTGCCTCTCAGTGGCTCATACTCCTTGGGAGTGCCCTTATTGACCCCGAGAATGGAGCAGAGAGTGAGTGAGAGGTGTTTGGAATAGAAAACCTAAGACGAACTGGAATTGCTGTGTGTGTCTCAATTTGGAAGTCAACCGACCAGAGGGAGAAACAGACTCAGGAGACAAGAGTGTGCTTAGCTCTAGAGAAGATATGGATGTTACTCTGCAGTCGACACGAGAGAGACGTTCTTAGATAGAGCTTCTCACTAGTGCGCATTTATAGTCGAGACATCGAAGAGTTATCTCTGGTCTCCTAGTGCCGACAGATCTAGGCGAAGAGTGTTATAAGCACATCTCATCTCGAGTCCTGTCGGATACAGATATGCCTAAATCTCTCTTCTTTTCTTTGGCAACTCCTTGATTCGCCTATGCTTTGCCCGAGGTGAGTATTGATGTCAGCCCAGCCTTGGAAACTGTGGTCGTGAACCTGTTGTATAGCTCTCTGGTGTGATCGGTGAGTCAGATGGGCCTCTCTGGATCCCTCTGGTGCCTGGCCACACTGCGTATGGGCAGGTCAACAGCAATCTCCACTGGCATCTGGTCTTCCTCACCTGTCAGTGAAGGCTATGAGAGACATCTCAGAGTAATAGTGGCTGAGGGTGGCTAATTCATTGGTGATAGACTAGCCCTTGCAACCATTTTCGCAGTTGTTAACCCTCGGCCGCGCATGCGCAGCGAGGGTTACGGTAGTTGGTTTGTCTTTCTGTGTGTGTGTGTGTGTGTGGTGTGTCGACGCCTACAGGCACAGGTGGCATAATCGAGTGATCCCAATCAGCTCAGAACTACGCGACCTGAAAAAGTATTAGGCGATTTTCCTGAACGACGGCTGTTTCGGTCGCGGGACCCGAGTCCGTGCCCAACCCATCCTAATGTCGGTGCGAATGCTGTATAGACACAGGTATGCTGGCTCCACCTCTACCTGATCCGCTGCTCTGGTGTGTCCAGGGCCGGCGCCGCCGTACGACCGGTCCGGTTTTGCTCAGGACGCACTCTTTGAATGTGATTGGCTGCGCATGCGCATAGCGCATGTGATGATGAGAGGTGTGGCGTGTGTTTCGTCTCGCGGTCTCTCGATCGTCGGATCATGGCGCGCCGGTGAGACAGTGTTACCGTATATAGCAGCGGTGACACCTCGCGTGCCTATTCAAGTTGTTCTCTACTTGAGTAGGTCGGCAAGAGGCCAGATTAAATTTGCCGAGAGTGCACCAGAACACTCTTAGAATGTCCTAAAGATTTTCATGTGAGCATGCCCCCAGACCCAACTAGTGGGCGCGCTTTCGCGCGCACGCTGCGGTGGCTGACCAACGACAAATTTGCGTCGCTCTGGCCCTGTGTGATATACCTGGAGGCACCAGAAGCCACAGCGGAAGGGCGTGTAATCGACGGCTGCATGCTATCTACTACCGTGTAGCGAGCCCGTGTCACATTCTTCCCCGCGGAGCTACTAGCGGAGACGCGGTAAATCGCCAGTAGCTAGCCCGCCCATCATTAGCGATACTGCTGCATAGCACAGTTCGCCCAGAGGTTTGCACTGATTAACCCTCGGCGCGCATGCGCACTCACGTGCCCTGTGCAACCACTCGCACACACAGACCCAAAAAGCGACACCAGCGGTTCAGCGCGACTACTGGCTTATTAATGCTATCTACTACTGTAGCTAGCCCGTGTCAGACTCTCCGCGAGCTCCTAGCGGGAGACACCACGAAATAGCCCAGCCCATCAATTAGCGTATCGCGCAAGCGCAGTTCGCCGAGGGTTTGCACTTCAGTGCTTTTCATTTAATTTTGCTTGTATATAATTGGAAGTTTGGTTAGGTAACGTTGGGGAGGGCAGGTAATGTAAAATGTTCCCTTAATTGTCAGGTTGAAGGAGCTTATCTTGATTGCACGTGATGCTGTATACTTTCAGAGCTCACATTCAAGGCACAACACCCTGGATTGTAAAGAGCTCTGATTGCTCAATTATTGATTTTGTGTCCCTGATGTGAGGTGTGGTCGCTCGAACAACTCTCAGGAGTGTCTTGAGGGACATGTGGCCAGAGACCCTTGTATATGGCTGCTTTTGGCTGGCTCTTTAGGGGCATTACTGGGGCTAAACACAGGGGCAACATGAACAGTCTAGTTAATTGTTAAATCTGGTACCGCTGCAATATTTGAGTACAGCAACTTTGGTCTGTTTAACGAAAATGAACATTGTACACATCAGCAGTGGGAATGGAGTGGGAGCTGTTTTTACCTTTTATCTGGAGTGGGAGCGACGTGGAGTATTGCACAATAATATCCCTCACTCTCAGGGATATCGGACTCTCCTTTTTCTCGTGAGAATACTCTTACTGTTGTTTTCTCTGGTATTGCGAGGGAGGGTTGAGTGTAGAAAGAGGAAGGTTCGAAATAAGGAGATAAGGCTCACTGTCTGAAGAATACCCAGTAGGCAAAAGGAGGAGGATTTGGGAGACAAGCTTAACTTTCGAGGCTCAGGATGTGCTATACGTCACACCTACTAGCTAACCAGATAACAGCTGTGATAACTGAGCTTACTATGGGATATCCCTTGGAAGTCCCTCTCTTGAGACCACACGGAACTGTTTGGCCCCTGTGTGTAGGCACCACCGCTACCCGGCTCGTTTGCTGCTGCTGCTTTGTAGCACTCCTTGTAAGTTAAAGGTCTCGTCAGTTGTAGCATCTAGATCAGAGCAAGTTAGATCATCTCAAGAGGCATGCCGGCGCGCGCAATTCGCTGGGCAGTTGTCCCAGCGGTTGGTCCAGCGGCGGTTGCGTGCACGTGATTGCTACTTTACTAAATATGCTTACTACTCTCTCAGGACATAAAAACACAATGTCAGAAAGTGAGTTTAGGTGCGGTGTTAATGAGCTGTTTCATAGCAAATCCATGGAGAAGGTTTGGAAAGACTCAGGTTCATCCTGTATCACTTTTGCCATGGGCAGAGCTAAAAATGCTCAGTTACACCTCAATATGTACATGAAGCTTTGTCACTCGATTTTCTCCTCCGCCATGGAAGGCTCTGAATATATTCCTGTTTGCTTGAAAGCATTGGTGGAAGTGGGAGGGCGAAACATAAAAAAACCAAAAAAAAAAAAAAAAAAAAAACAAAAAAACAAAAAAAAAAAACAACACCCAAACCAACACAACACAAAAACACACACACCCAACACCCCACCCCAAAACCCCCCCCCCCACAAACAACCCCACCAACAAACACACAACCCCACAAACACACCCCCCCCCACCCCCCACCCCCCCCCACCCCCCCCACCCCCAACCCACCCCCCCCCCCCCCCCCCCCCCCCCCCCACCCACCCCCCCCCCCCCCCCAACCCACCCCCCCCCCCCCCCCCACACCCCCCCACACACCCCCCCACACACCCCCCCCCCCCCCCCCCCCCACCCAACACCCCCCCACCCCACCCCCCACAACCCCCCCCCCCACCCACCCAACCCCCCCCCCCCCCCCCAACCCCACACCCCCCCCCCCCCCCCCCCCCCCCCCACCCCCACCCACCCCCCCCCCCCCCCACCCCCCCCCCCCCCACCCCCCCCCCCCCCCCCCCCCCCCCCCCCCCCCCCCCCACCCCCCCCCCCCCCCCCAACAAACCTGTGCAAGGAAGCAAGAGCAATTACTAAATTATCAGTACTCCATTGATTTAAGTGGGTAATCACGAAAACCCCTTCAAACCGATGTTCCTATTGGCTCCGACGATTGCGGCGTCTCCACCCGCATGCAAGGAGATAGTCTAGCTACATTTTGGGCGATCGTTAATACTAACTATCGTAATTATGAGGGTCGCCCAGTCTTTTCATTGAGCTACACCAAGCGGGAAAAAAGTGAGCGAAGAATGAACAAGTGAACTGGGAGATACGTTAAAAATCTGCAAAAAATCGTTTTGATGAAGGCCAAACAACCTGAGTTCACTGCGGTGCAAAAGTGCACTCGTATCTCACCAAGTTTAGTGAAGAAGAAGAGAACCATTTACTCAGGTAATAACCCTAACGGCTGTCAGCTCCATATGATTTTGTTTAATTTCAACAGCTGATGAGGATCTACAGCTGCATCATGCATGAATCACATCATGAAGGTGCTACATATTTCTCCATCATTATATTATTCTTCCCATAATAAGCCAATGATGTTATTGGACGAAAACATCCCAAAAAGAGAAGAAAGTCAGAGGACGTTATCCCAGTGGAGCTCCGTTCCTTACGGTTCACCTTGCTCATGTGCTCCAGATAATAATATAAGACACTCCAGATGGTGACGATATAGATGATCCAGGTGCGTGCACTATTGTTTTTGACTTTGTAGATTGATCATCTTCAATAATAATATAGCTCCTAAGGAGATGGAACATCTACAGATAGTGTTCACTACAGGAGTGAGAGAAGGTGGCAGTAATAACCTTCTTGCTCTTATCTTTGTGTATTAATGAAAAGCACTTAAGTCAAACCCTCGGCAAACTGCGACTGCTAATTGATGGGCAGGGCTATTAGTATGCATTTACTCGTGTCTCCCGCTAAAAGCACGCGAGAGTCTGACACAGGTTACTACCATATACATGCGTGAGTCATACACGCCATTCGTTACGACTTCTTGTGCGTTCAAGATACACAGAGCATATTGGCTTGTTCACTTTGTTTTCACGTCATAACTTTAGAACGCAGTATTTAAAAAAAATGAAAATCACTTTTTATTAAAATCAACCCAGTGTAGCACTGAACCCGTTCATATCGCTCTTTGCCTGATTTCGTGCGTCGTGGCAGAAAACTTGGTAACAGACAGACACAGACTGACAGACACACTCACGAGACAACTACTGTGACCCTAGCTGCACATGCGCGCCGAGGGTTGACTATATAACATTCTAGATGGCAGCGAAGTAGTGGAACTACCGACAAGTTGCAGTGCCCCGCCAGTTGCAGCAGGAGGAGCTGCAGGAGCAAGTGTTGGCCCTGCCAGGACTTCGGAAGGTGAACCTTTAAATCTTCATTGCATGCATTGACAGAGTTTACTATGATACAGGCAAACTGACAGAGAGTTTATATTTTGTGCCTAAGACTCTCAGTGGAGCTGTTCCGGAGATTCCAACAGCTACTTCAATCAATACCGATGAACCTGAGCCACAAGGTTAGGCATTCTTCATCCTATTGTGCTATGACATGCAGAGACTGTGAAGTGTCTCTTGTTCATGTGAGCAATGATAGCATGGAAATAGTCTTGTGCAGTCTAAAAGCAGGAATGGAGAATAGAAATGTAGATACTGCGTAATTGTAATGGAGAAGAAAAGGCGAAGGGAAGACGAGAGATCGAAGAATTGCTCTGACTTAGAATGGAAGCATCACTTGGTCTTAGCGTTCCACGTCACCATGGACCTTTTAGTAGCACCAACAAACTCTCCATGTGCTTAAAGTAAAGCTACCCTGCTGAAATAGTGTAATGTGTTGCCTATGACACCAAAATTATGGGCACCATTTCATATTTACACACAGGCAACCACGATGTGTTGCCGCAAACTGCAGGTTCACCTTCCCCTTCAGCTACATCTACGTCAAGCACACACACACCCAACTGTTGTAAGTTGAGCGTATAAATATGTTTTTTTAAGATACATCCATTGTATCTCAGGGTCGAGAATTAGCAACAGGAAATTGAAAGTTGTAACTATTGTATTTGCTACTCTGCTACTGAGTGCTTTTGGTATAGCATTGTGCGCCAACTATGTCTGGATTCCGCTTCACAATCTTACGCAATCTCATGATGTCCTGCATCGCGAGGGAAATGTACCAATTCTTTTACAGTTGAGCTCATTGTTAGTCAAGAAATTCCGTGTTGTCCAGGAAGTTGATTTAAAAGATTCATTGCACACAGTATCTGTGTACCTACCTAATTACGGTTGCAATGAACTACGAACTACTACAACAACACAACATTACAATGCAAGCGCTCCGCCTCCTGACATTCCTATCTACATGCTGGAACATTCTCATATTTCGCTACACACCTGTGCCACTACCAAAGAAGATGAAAATAATCCCGTCTTTTTCTATATCACAAAAACAGTCGAGAAAAGCATTAACTTTGATGGCAACCAAAAAAAAGGAAGACATGCAATATCTGTTGGAATTGACGACTCTTTTAAATATACCACCATATCCTCTCTGATAACCTCGAAGCGATTACTACTCAATCCGTTTTAGTGAGATTCCATCTAATGTCACCCTCATGTATAATCTTACTGTGACAATTATAAAAGTGGACCTTGATGCTGTGAACGCAACACGAGTGGGGACCATTACCCCTGACAGTGATGATAGAACCCTAGAGAGGTCAATCGACTTTGGCACTGGAGAATACTGTTTGTTGGCCGACATCAAGGACAGTGCTAAACAGAAAACCACTCACAACTACACCACTCTAGAGACGCACACAGAGCCCCGTGTCGGTGCCGCAGTTGGAGTCACAGTTGGTTTGTTGCTGGTGTTCATTCTTGTGGTGCTACTGCCTGGAGTGCTTGTAGTGTTTTATGGTAAAGAGTTACTTTGTTTCTGTTATACCAAGTATAAAGGTTATACCTCATTTTAATAACCAAATTTGTTTTCACATTACTAAATTAGGATGATTTCTTGTAATGAAATGATATTTTTTAATGCCAGTTCTCCTGCCACTCACTTACTTCATCTCCATGCATAATTATAGAAACAAGGCAAGTGTCAAAAGGGTGACTATGGTTGTGTAGGCACTCTGTGCCATTTACAAACAAGTGGCACCGACTATTACCCACCATGTATATACGTATATACTAGCTTTGACTTGTTTAATTTAGAGTGTGCCCTAATGGAATCCGCCGCAATGCCCCCACCAACTAATCCCAAGGAGGCCAGCAGTGATTAGAATCCATGCACCGCCACAATGGTATATATCGATCTTGCTATCTGTGGTCTATATATAATGTTATGTAGCTACTATTATACGTGCGAGGGACATACCGGATTTCAATGAACCCGAGGGCCTCCGCGTTTGTAGTGTCCCGAGCGCAGCGAGGGAACTACGCGGAGGGATGAGGGTTCATTGAAACCCGGTATGTCCCGAGTATACGGAGTACATAACATGTTTAGTGCAGAGCAAATCAGCTCCGTATACGCGCACAGCCGCGTTTCCAGGCAGGAAAGATGCGAGAAAGAGACGAGAGCGCAAGACCGTCATCCCGTGCGGGACTATTGAACGCCGAACGCTAGGATACGCTGCTCCCCCGCTCTAGCTACTCCCGCTGCGGGACTGTCCTCCGCCACTCATCCGAAGAAACGCGACAGGAGACCTGCGCGAACCATCACAATCAGAGAGAGGCGAGAGTGGAGAATTCAGGCGCTGTGTGGGCTGCTATATATACCGAAGGCGTTCGCCGACTTAGTAGCTTTGTCGCGCGCACTCGCTCGCGGAGCCCCACCCCCTTATTTGCGTGCGGTGGTTTGTGGGGCGGGCGTTGGCTATCTACTATATATGTACATGGCAAGGAGGGAGATGGGCTCAAAGCAGACACAGAAAACTGTCTTGTGGAAAAAGAAAATCAAGATATCAGTTATTTTGATCAACATTTTGTACAGATCATGTTTTGCGGGATACATTTCTTACATGAAATGCTGTTGAACTTGTTGAAAATCAACAGAAAAAACAAGGTTTCATATCATGTTTTCATGTTACTTTTGTTAGCTCACGAGGTTCATATGAGAAATCAGGAACCTCGTACTAACAAATCTGATTGGTCGATTCGAATCAGCTATGCACTAAATAGGGATAATGCATGCATGTGATAAGCAGATAAAAGTATATACACTCGTAATATTATGTGCTAGGTATTAGTATTAACCACAGCTTCAATATGTCACCCGCATTTCCTTGATACTGTACCATCCTTCACAGAGAGGAGGAGGTAATACACAACACTCAATGTCACAAAATAATTGCTTGTTGCCACGAAAAAAAGAACATACGAAAGTAATGCATCCAGCTGTATATACACACAGGAAGTGAGCGCCGTGATAACTGCATATATATATATGCAGTTTGCCTGCTAATGCACAACAGTATGCGGAGTATAATTACAATAATTTGAAAATGTATATAAACACACAATGGACGTGCCTGTTGATCGTTAGCCAATAGGTGTATCATAATAGGGGCATTGTGTATAAAAACAAAAATTCAGAAATCCATGGCAACAAAAAAGCTAATGGGGCAACTAATTTTTGCAATAGAGCTATGGAGTCAAAACTTTGCACAAGTATGTACGTATGTAACATTGACTGTGGAGTTCTTCAGGAGTTGACAGTGTGTCTTGGCTCATGAACAGGGTAGCGATCAGGAGCATCAATCTCCCCATAGTGGGTGAAGAGGAGGTTCCCCTCAAAACGCAGCCGTCCACGAGTTTCATCTCCTCCACAAAACAAACTGTACGAATGTAACAATGTTTTATTACAAGTGATCCAACTTTTAGTTCTGATACTGTATGACAATGAAAAAGCACTAAAGTACAAAACCCTCGGCGAACTGCGCATGCGTGTTACCGCGGCTATTAGAATGTGGTCTCCACTCTAGTAGCTTGCAAGCATTGGGAGCCAAGGGGAGCAGAGGGGGGAGTATTCTAGGGTAGGAGGGAGGAGCGCTATAGGCTGATAGTTTATTTTATGTTGGTAAGTATGAGAATGTTGTTGTTAGAATGTTTGGGACTTGGTGGAAACTCCAGCATCAAAAAAGTCCCAGTCTAAGAAATCATCTCGGGAAATGAGGGGATATGCTAGGGGCACTGAGAGGATGAGGTAAACAGCTATGTCATTTTTGTGTTGGTAGCTCTATTGCCTTATTGCTGTGGCTGCCTGTTTAATAATTATTCTCTGCATGTTTTTCACCGATTATAGCTGAGTAATTTAAATCGTGCAATCTGATTGGTCGATGCGCGGACCTCTAAACACGTAGAGCAAACTTGCCGGAGCAAACTTGCCGGACCCGGTCGAGGCTAGCTACAGCACTAGATAGCATGCGGGAGTAGATACACACCCTTCGTTGTGACTTCTTGTGCTTTAACCCTTTGGGCGCCATAGGTGTCTCCTTAAATAAGCAGAAATTGATGTATAAGATATTAGCGCCTAGTATTATAGCCATATATAAATTCTTATGCACTTATGGAGGCTCTGTGCATATATAATTATATGTAAATGGTGCCCAAACTGGGTTACTATATCAGCAAGCGGTGGGCCCTGTTCTAATAGCAATTGGCTTTTTTGGCTCGTGTCACACCATAACTCACGCACACAGCAGTTTCACACAGCAGAGAAACCACACTATTTTTCGACCCTTTCAATGCCGACGCTAAAGAATCAGTTTGTGGAGCGATTGATGGCTCGTGAAGTGAGATGTAAGGTAATAGACAGACAGACACACACGACAACTACTGTAGCCCTCGCTGTGCATGTGCGCCGAGGGTTAATAACCAAGGCTTTTGATGACTGCAGTATCTCAAGAGTTAAGTACTTTTGGCGAAAAAGCAGCACGATATATGATAGGGCAGAAGTATGATTAGCGGATATAACCACCAAGGATAGACTGCTGGGCAGTTTGTAAGCCACAATGTATTATGTATATACCATACCATGCATCTGATTCAGGTGATTGCTTATAAGTATTGTATGTAGAATTGAGTTAGTAGATAAAAGGTTCTCACTATGGGAGGCAGGCGAGGGCCAGTTTGACAGGGATGTACCAGAGGATGCCAAAGACCAGGAAGATCATGACAGAGGCCCACAGGACTATGAATATTCCTCCCAGGAGCTGGAATCCAAACCTACTCCATGGCTCTCAATCTGCACACAATAGTAATAGCAACACACTTCTGGCGAGCGATTGCGGGAGTCAATCTGTTTCGTCTATATGGTATGTCTGGCAGTAATCCTTCTGTAGGTCACATACTGAAAAATGAAACGCACTAAGTGCAAACCCTCTGGAACTGCGCATGTGCAGTACCGCTAATTGATGCCTGGCTATAGTATGCGTTTAGTCTCCGCTAGTGGCTCGCAGAGAGTTCTGACACAGGCTAGCTACAGCAGTAGATAGCCATATGGAGTCGATAACAAACCTTCGTTGGACTTCTTGTGCCTTCAAGACACAGAACAAGCGGACCCGTCGAGGTAAGCCTGTTCAAATAGTATATTAGCTTTCCGCTCGTCTTTCACGCCGTTAACTCTCGAACGCAGCAGTTTCAGAACCCTACATACTTTTCGACCAACCTCCCGCTCACTACAGCTAATTCATGCCATAGTTATGTATGTCACACTGGAAGCCTTGATGGTAGGAGGAAGCATTGGGAGCCAGGGGAGCAGAGGGGGAGTATTCTAGGGTAGAGGGAGGAGGTTATAGGCTGTTAGTGCATAGCTGATTTGAATCGACCAATCAGATTTGTTAGTACGAGGTTCCTGATTTCTCATATGAACCTCGTGAGCTAACAAAAGTAACATGAAAACATGATATGAAACCTTGTTTTTTCTGTTGATTTTCAACAAGTTCAACAGCAATTTCATGCTAAGAATGTATCCCGCAAAACATGATCTGTACAAAATGTTGATCAAAATAACTGATATCTTGCTTTGAGCCATCTCCTCCTTGCCATGTATATGACATATAGATAGCCAGGCAGCTCACGCCCCCGCCACAAACCACCGCACGCAAATAGGGGTGGGGCTCCGCGAGCGAGTGCGCGCGACAAGTCGACGGCGAACGCCTTTCGGTATAGCAGCCTGCACAGCGCCTGAATTCGCCTCTCTCTGATGCGATAATTCGCGCAGGTCTCCTGTCGCGTTTCTTCGGATGAGTGGCGGAGGACAGTCCCGCAGCGGGAGTAGCTAGAGCGGCGAGCAGCGTATCCTAGCGTTCGGCGTTCAATAGTCCCGCACGAGATGACGTCTTGCGCTCTCGTCTCTTTCTCGCATCTTTCAAATTCCCTGTGCTTGGAAACGCAGTGCGCGTATACGGAGCTGATTTGCTCTGCACTAACATGTTATGTACTCCGTATACCGGACATACCGGATTTCAATGAACCCTCGAGCCTTCCGCGTAGTCCCCTCGCTGCGCTCGGTGACACTACAAACGCGGAGGCCCTCGGGTTCATTGAAATCGTATGTCCCTCGCACGTAGTACATAACATATATATAGTTTATTTTATGTTGTAAGTATGAGAATGTTGTTGTTAGAATGTTTGGGAGTTGGTGGAAACTCCAGCATCAACAAAGTCCCAGTCTCAGAAATCATCTCGGGAAATGAGGGGATATGCGAGGGCACTGAGAGGATGAGGTAGACAGCTATGTCATTTTCCGTGTTGGTAGCTCTATTGCCTTATTGCTGTGGCTGCTGTTTAATATTATTCCCGGCATGTTTTTCACCGATTATAGCTGAGTAATTTAAATCGTGGCAATCTGATTGGTCGATGCGCGGACCTCTAACACGTAGAGCAAACTTGCGGCCTCTAAGTTTTGTCGCATACGCAATGGCTCACTAACGCTGGGCGGTAGTCCCCATCCGAGTCCTGCGAAGGTACCTAGTAGAGGCGAGGAGCCCATTGTAGACGTCCTCCTGGCCCCGGGCCCCTCGCTCAACACTTCCGCGAGAAGACAGCCCGTGCTCGTTCACCGTTCAGATGCACACGAATTGAATTGTGCGCACGCGTGGCATAGCCTACACCGTTAAGATGCATCGTCATGGAAACCAGCGCAATTAGAGCGCCTTAGGGGGCCGTAGTAGCGTTCTTGCTGCGCTCGAACGAAACGCCGACAGCGCAGGGCCCCCGCGGCTCTCTACAGCGCGTAGTTCCTGTGACATACATGACACTATAGCTAAGTAATGGCGATGACACGTACATTGCGTGTTGTGAGTGATCATTGGAGACACAGTAGCAGAGGCTCTCATAGACCTCCAAGATCAGAGAGGTGCGCCATATTCACCAACACAGAGTAGTCCCCAAAAACCACTGTGGACACGATGTAAATGGAGACTTGATTAATTCAGGAGAAAAACCTTGTGGAGTGCATGACACCTGGTTAGTCTGGCTACAGTTCACTCTCTCTCAACAAGCCACAGGCTGCTACACAGGCTAACTGACTGAGAGACACGTGCGACACACACTCAACAAATACATTTTGCACTTACAGCGAGAGCTTAACAAACTCATGGCACTATTGATGTTGTGACATGGTATGTCCATACCTGACAGCATGCACAGGGAAGACTCTCGCTCCATCATGAAGTTTCAACAAGTACTCAATGTAGCACCCACCATGGTAAAACAGAACAGTTAGAGCTGTGTGAACAGACACAATTTGTAGTGGACTGAAATGAGCATTAGTGATTTACTCAGATAAAGTGAAACCTCGCTGATATAAACTCCACAGGAGTTTCCAAAAGTGCTTATGAATTTTATAACTGTAGCCATTAGTTTATTTAGAATATATCAGGACATTATGGTTAGGGCAACATTATTTTACAGAAGTTGGCACAATTTGGACGACTAGGTAAGCTCGCCTTGCGCTCCCGAATACTCACGTCCAATAAGGATGGCAAACGGTGGATCGACAAAGGGGCAGCAGCCAGTCACAGCCACCAGTGTGGCCGAGACGGCGTTGGCCATCTCGTTGGTGTTGAAGTGTTCGTGTCTGTTGTAGATCTGACCAGTCCCGACACTATGCACTGGTGATACACACTTGCTGCAGCCAGGCACATGGTGAGGGCAATCCGACCCACCGCCGCATGGCTGGTCTTCCCTGCATGCAGACGTTCAACAACCATAGAAATGAAAAGAAGAAGTGTACATATATTATAAACGTTTTTTCTAGAAATGAAAGCACACTTCACAAATGGTGGGTAAACACGCACAAGCAATCACTAAACATTACATACATGTCCCAGTACTAAGTATTAGTTAACGTATAGGCGGCGAGGCGGTACAGGAGATACTCCAAGGCTGTTGACTATACCGGACGAGGGCGTAGCCCGAGCGTGGTATAGTAACAGCCGAGGAGGATTTCCTGTACCCGCCAAGACGCCTGACGTTTACTGATTTGTAGTCCAACTAGCCAATCACAATGCTGAATTTCTGCTGCGTCATCTTGCACTAATTACTAATGGACTGTTGTGTAAACTTTGGAAGCCAGACAATTTGCACTACGCCTAGCGCTAGATGTTGTGATAAGGACTTCCTGTCCAATACTGATACCGGTGCAGCCCGCGCCCACAGCTCAGAATACAGCGTATATTCCTAGCACCGGGTTGTTTGAAGTTGGACTACAAGCTGCTATGGACAGCCCACAGTGCACACACATATACATAAACAGAATTGTACAAACAGCAGCAGCTAAACAGTAACAGTAATCCATATGGTCTTACCGGCGATGGTTTCAGTCGATCCACAGTTGAAAGCAAACCTGTGGAGGGTTTACAAACACATAACACACACAAAACCCACGGGCAAGGACTAAAACACTAGAATGACAAGAGGGAGGCTGTATACGTACCATGTGGTCCACAGTATGATTATCCGAGGCAGCACTCTCACGTTTCCTCCCCACCTCCACTGGGATACATCCACTGATGAAGCTGCATGGAGTCCAGTGGAGGAGTCACTATCACCCCAACTCCATAATTATGGCCATACTGATGAGGTTTACTGTGCCATAACACAGTGGTTTGAGGTTTGCCTTTGTGCTGTGTTGTGTTGTGTTGTAGGATTTGAACCCCCTGGCAGTCAGCTGTACGAGTGGCTCGCCTATATGCCATGGGTTCAAAACCCACCTAGGGCAGCAAAGAGTTGCCTGGTGTTGTTGACTTGTTGCTCTGCCTTACTTTTACCTCGCTACAGTTGTCACATGCAGCAGTATACCGCGCTATATATGTACACATACACAACCCTACCATGGAGTGTTTGATTCTGATTGGGGCTTTGCTCTGTGAATTCCACCATTGCAAACTAATGGGGGGAAAGAGTTGTTAATCAATACAGCACACCAACTGGCAAGCAAATTAATAAACAGAACAGCCAATATTCACACTGAGTGTCGTGTGTGTTTGAGTCCCACCCAGGGCAGCTCTTTTTCTCTCCGTGCGTCCCTGTATAATATGTGGTACGTATGTAGTAAAATCGTTTGCCTTGTGTTGACATCCCCTGATTCATGCTCACAAACTCAGAGGTTCTAATGCCAGTCAGCTTTTTAATAAGAATATCATCCAAATTATGGCTGGCATTCTATTTCACCGATATTTGTGTTGAAAATTTTGTTTCATGTATAGGTGGCTCTTTATAAAGCCAATTGAGCAAAATGAGACAATATAGCCCAGGAGCGACATCAAAAGACATATAACCTCTTTCTCAGTAGTGGTAGCTGCTGTAGCTTTCTAGTCTTCTTTGAGGTCTCAAGCTTATGAAACAGACTCAGCTAAATCCTCCATGCCACCTAATGGTACATCATAGCAAAAGAGATGGTAATAATATAGCAGTAGGCAATAAGGGATAGCTTTTACTGCTTTAGGAAAACTTCAGCATGGAAAACAACAAGGGTGTGAAACAAAACAGCTGCATTTTAAGTACCACGCCAGATCGAGGTATGAATCAGCCAGCCACAGCAGCAGCTACGTAAGCAGGGTGTATGCGAACATAACACTTGTGTGGGTAGCGTGTTCCACCTGTCTAGTGTGCACTGCAGACAACCTGACACAAAACACTGCGGACATGTGCACTGGACAGACGAAGCCGTCCAACCTTGATTTCCTCTAACTTTTGCACATGAGCTCGTTCACCAGACGAAGACAGCTGTGCACATTGAAGAGAGCGCTCGCTGGCAGTGCAGATTTTAACACACTGCGAATTATTTGACAGCCGAACTTCTACACACAGACACGCTAATGAGTGGCACAAGTGGAGGATTTGTTTCTTCATCTGAGACTTATATGGCCAGTAATGCGACTGGCGTGTTAGTCTGTCAAAAGCCAAATTGCATGGCTTACAAACACTTATACAACGGCGTTCAACAAGTAAACTAACCTTCGCGGCCTTGCGGTAGCCCCGGCTGTGCCCTCTCACGCACTTTCTATCCCCCTGCCGGACTACAACTGCACTCGATTGATCATGCACCCAACGTCCTAGTGTGCATGAGCTTTTGTTTATCGTTGTACACAGTCGCTACAACAGTGAGAGGCAGTCTGAGTCAAAAGTGCTCGCAAGTCATGTCTACTCTAAGTCAGTGTGATGTAGCTTTTGAACATCCTCTTTAGTTACGCTGATTGTACTTTCTACACTAATTAGCTGAAGTGATGTAAGAGCACATAAGCACTGCACAGATAGCTTGTCGTAGTTATGAATCTAGTAATACTTTACTCACCGACAACGTGAACCAGCCAGAGCCGGCAAAGTCAAAGAAGACGAAATCGATGCCCAGGTCCTCGACCGGATGGAGGAGAACCTGTGATCAATGTTGCCTGTGAATGTCGTGCAAAGTCTCGTATGGAGACCAGACAGAATGGGCCGGGGTCACTGCGAGACGACCAGAAGATTCGAGCAAGCTCGGGTGAATGAATGCCTGAAGTTGAGAGACACTATCATGAGTGCAACCCTCAGTTATAGAGTAATTTGAGAACGTCTACAGGGAGTTGCATCTGTTGACATTGCTCGTTAGTACAGGAGTGAGGAATCTGCCTCTATACACTGTTTTCCAGTGCCACACCTTTGTGGACCAGCCTGTGCTGTATTACTACAACACAGGTGCTAATTCCAGGAACTCCACACTTCACTATCCGCAATATGTATAACAATGTTCTTGAAATGTATAAACACAAGGCATTAAGTGGCTATTGGGAAGCTGCCAAAATGTGTTACTACTACATTGTTATGAATGGACATGGATTCTGGAACACACCCTATTTGTAAACAGAATCCGTAGAGCCACACATAATACTCATCTTGAGGAGGCAATAGTGCACCGAACAACTTTGCACTCCCTGGAGGTATACCAGCCAAAATATAGAGGGGGCTCTACGCAGACACATTTTTCGATTTACCACAGCATACACAGTTACACCTCCTGGCAAGAGCCTTATGTATACCCTGGGAGAAGCAAATTGGTGCATGACTAGCAATTACTACTGCATGCACTATACTGCCTTACCGTCATGACAAAAGAGTAGACAAAGGCAGCAGCAGCTCTCATCTGGACATCGTGGCCAACCAGTGTCCCTCCAATGATGGTGGCCGTGTTGGTGGCAAATGTGTACTAGAAAGAGACAATTGTTGGCACACATGCAATAGCACTTTCCACCAATGATACACTGTAGTGGCTAACAAACATTAATATAGTGAGTGTAGAGGGGATGCATGCCTGCAGAGTTGCGTGGTAATTAGTGCCCTCTGCTGAATAAACTGTGTGGTCACATTTCAAACAAGGACATATGGTGTGTGTGTGTGTGTCATTGTGTGTGTAGTGATAAGAAAATGTCAGATGTTGCCGACTCACTCTGAAGAACCAGAAGATGTAGTCCTGCTCCTCGCCCACAGCACCCTGGTCAGTGTTACCAGACACTGCATAGCCAAACAACCAGAAGCCAAAGGTCCCAGCAAATATGTCAATATATTTCTGGAGAGAGTAAACCGTATAACTGTAAATTTCCGGAAAAACCACCATTAGTTGCATGGGCTCTGTTGCATTCACAGGTTGTGTATAGTGGAGGTCATAGCAGCACGCCAGCAAACATGACAAACATGATATGTATTTACAGCCCCCATCAATTCCAGAAAGAAAATCAATGCTGTGTCTGCTTTATCTTACCACCCACTTTATGGGTGGGGGATTGTCCTGTCTAGTGCATAGATGTTATGCGAGAATGCAGAGTTTAATGAGATTCGGTAACATTTAATTGTGAGGGTATGGGAATATGCATGTGGACTGGATGAAGGCCCATTACCACCTCTGTGGTATGTCATAATCATATTTTTGTGGTTGCAAATGTTTCTCACAACCACACCCATCCAGCCTACATGCACGATCACACAAGATAACTGGTGGAGAACAATAAAATAATACAGGGAAGCAAGTGTGGGAGGGATATTTTGCTGGCTGCTGCACAAGGAGGCTGATGCCAAGCGCACGGACTGGTCCGTTTCTAGCTTTTATAGGCGACCAGCCTTGCTGACATATGCGCGCTACCCTCATACAGCTATGTGACGTTGTGGCCTGGAGGCACCTCCCTATTAACCTCGTTTAACCAAGGGTTAAACTACATACAACATACTTACTAATTTACGCCACTCATACTGACACATTTCACACATTAGTCTATAGTGGCAATGAGCTCCATGAATGTGAGGTCTATCATGTATTGCATTGTACTGGAGAGTGGCAGAGGAAGCCCAGTACAATTACCTCAGCCAGCACCTTTCAATATACAGAAGGAAAACGAGGATTGCCAACTGGTGCACCGCTTCACTGCATGCTGCATGCATTGGCGTAAGAGACGCTTCACTGCATGCATTGGCGTAACAGACGCTTCACTGCATGCATTGGCGTAACAGACGCTTCACTGCGTGCATTGGCGTAACAGACACTTCACTGCATGCTTTGGCGTAACAGACGCTTCACTGCGTGCATTGCCGTAACAGACACACAGACATAATACAGGGATGCCATTCAGTATAGAGGAAAGCGTCACACATCTACCCCACCAGTAACTGTACTCCACACAGAACTATCTCTCTGTTTCTAAGGACAGAAACTAATGTTTTGAAGGGGACAACAACTGAAAACAAATCACTCTAAAATGCTCTGCTCCCAAGAGTTCCTATCACACAATAACTATCTCTGTAGCGCACACAATTCTGCTGAGCCCTAAAACTGACAAACATCACACAATTAGCTTCCCAGACAAGAAAAAGTGAAACGAGAGCAAACAGATTGTTGCAGGAGCTAACAACTGTGTCCTTACAGCAAGAACAACTCGTCTTCTCTTGTCTTGCTTGCTGAATGACACTTCCACATACAGAAACCCCGCTTTCTGTACCAAAGAGAAAAATAATACAGTAGCCAGGTCAGGTCATGGTTGCAGTAGAACACGTATGTATCATGTTCTGGCCACAAAAGTCCAAACACCCCTATACTAGGGGATCAGTTTATTCTGCACACAATACAGATAAAGTGTAGGACTCACTGAGCCTAGTTTTTAAACGTACAATAGCCTGCCTTTTACGATAAATGGCTCTATGAGACTGAGTAATCCTCACCATGCAGAACATGAGGAGGGCGCACAGCACGACCCAAGTAGCACTTGCATCGTCGTAGCGATCCGAGTAGGTATTTTTCTGCAATCGGTTAAGGACATGTAGAGCCACAATCTTATGAGATAAAGAAGCTTTTAGTTAGGATCTTACGCCGCACAGAGAAGGTTCCCGAGAGAAGCAGTTGGTGTGGACATCCGGAGCAGAGATCGGGGTCCTGCAAAGCAAATGTCCGTCGAGTTTTCCAGCGCAGACATAATTTCTTTTCTATGATTCACCTACTACTGCCGCTTTACCAAAGCAACCGCGTTTTTTTCACGCAAACGGCACTACACTGCAGCTCAGCAGCTAGTCACCCGGATTACGGACCACTCTATATAACAACCCCACCCTCCTTTTCTGCCCTGCGCGCGCATAAACAACAATGCATCACATGTACAATTACATATAATTATGATTTTCACACTCTAATTACAACTGTGGTGGTTTTTCAGATACTTGGGTTTTCCTGAGGCGTTTGTACCAGAGATCTTCATTGGCCAGGAAATACTTTTTTCCCCAACCACTCTCCGACACCTCCTTTCCTTTCATCTCGACGAGAGTGTCTATCTGGAGTCTTGTCGGTGAAGCGGATGACCCTCTCCACGTGGCCAGTGGTCCCCAGCCTGTTCACCAACTGAACTGTTATGTCCCCCATGAACGGCCAGTGAAGGTGCTTATCAACGGACCCTGCATTAGGTATGCATAGACGCCACATGGGTCTCGTCTCCTGTGACTTCCTTTGGGACACCCGCGCAGGCACATTCTGTAGCCGTGGGGATGCGTGTAAAAAGCCGGCGTAATCATGTCAATGCTTGTCACTTTCACGCGAAACTCTTTTGGACTCTGAGTGTTGAACAGTGTCCACCTTCAGTGTCTTTGACTTCTTCTTTTGAGAATTTTCAATTCCTTCTTGCGCAGCAGATAGCTTCTTCATGAGCTCACAACGAACCTCCCGATCTTTCTCCTCACGTTACGCTCCTTAGTCTCCTAACCAACTAAACCTAACCAAAACATCAGCGGTCGCGGTTAGCAGCCTCGGACATGTGTCCGTTTAAAGCTCCACATGCAGGGCTCGTCCGTGTGCTGTTCTAGTTGCTGTGTGCTTAGAGTCTCTACACTCGGTCATCGCATGGACACTGTTTTGCACGTGCACGTCGTGTACAAGGCCCACAGGTTCCGCCTCAACTCTTGGCTCTGTTGTCTCTCACAGACTCCTCTGTAACTGGTGGCTGGCCAGTGTGAGGCTCGGATAGAGGTCTCCATCTCTTCAATGCGCTGCAGTACGTCCTTGGCTGACTAGCTCTGCCTTGCAGCCGCAGCCTAGTTACTGATACGGGCATATCAATCTTGAACATCGTTGGTATTGTTTACACATTCTCATCCTGCGTAAACTGCCAGACGTCTCTACCAGTTTCGTGGTGTATATATGCATTACTTTCTACATAGCTGTCTAATGTCCGAAATTCAGTATCAGTATCATTCATCTTCGTGTTGACGGCATTGTATTAGGCAAGCTACGGGTATTTTTTGCACTGAGATAGTGGTTTGTAACACATCATCATACACGGCCTTAATAGGTGTGTGCAATCGGTCACAGGTGTACGGTCGCTCGGTGGGCACTCTGCTTGGATTCGTGAGCGGCAATGTGACGTCGTTGGAACCACTCCCCAACACCTGTACTGGCAGGCCCACCCCCACAACTAACTGGCACTCCGAAGGCTGATTCTCGATCACACCCGTGTTCAGGTGCAGCTCAAGCGTCCCCCAGCTTCCCAGACCATTCGCAAGCCTTCCGTCTTGTAGGTGCACACCTCGCCTCCAGCTCTTTCATGGAACCTCTCGAGCCCACGGTCCTGGAGGTGGGACTGAACTCATGAGGCTCTGCATAGTTTACAACAGCTGTCTTGTTCCTCCGGGTGGTGGTCTCGGATCGAGAGCAACTGGGTCGATCGATTCTCTTGTCTCTCCTCTCCGTCCGCGAGCAGGCGCACTGAGAGGTGAGCACGCTCTCACTGCCGGAGAAGACAGATCTGGTTCATCACGGACAGCAGGCCGTCTGGAAGGCCGCTGGAGCAGTTCCACCAGCTCACAGTCGTATCCTTCCGCTGCTTCCTTTACCGCCACCTCGTGGAGCTGCCGTGGGTACAATCTGCAGGAGGTCGGCCTCGGAAGACATCAGGATTGTCCCTGTGCGACGCTCGGCCATATTATTTAACCCCTGAGATCATGTGACGGCCCGGCGCCCGCCGCCTTGTTAATCGGCCGGCGGCACCTCCCCCTTTCATTGTTGTATTATTGTCGGGCCCCGAACTACAAAATGGTGTAACAAAAATTCTCTGAAATTGGGATAGGTATGTCAAGAGAAGATGTCTACAGGTCATTCATCTAGCTAACCTTTGCTTACTTAGAATGTCTGGAATTGCATTTTGGCAAAAAACGTTAGGGTTGGGATATAATTATCTCCTGATGTGACATCCCCTTAACCTTATTAATTTCATTAACATATATACACCTAGCACAATGAATGAAATCACATGACAATGTTGCCGCACACCTATATATTAATAGGTGAGATACTCCTGTAGATTGTCACCTCACAGGTTTATTATTGGTGGGATGGGCAGTCAGTGTATCAAAAGCTGGAAGGTTAGTAAATGCACTTTTCTACCAGGTTCATCACTGCTCTGTAATAATTCAAAGCACCATGATTGAAAAGTAGTAATAAGGTAAAGGTTTATGTGTGGCTTAGGTAGAAACAAAACTAGTAACAGAAACATCAGCCAAAACAATTCCAAACACTTCCGTGTTTATCGCGGCATGAGTGACCAGCTTGTTTGGTGGTGGGAATTAGCTCTAAGTCCTCTACTGCTCCTCCGAATGACACTGAACCAGGAGATGAAGAGGCTACTCGTTACTGGAGGGAGAATGAGAAGTGACTGGATGAGACCCAGTTAGTTCTGACCTTCGAACTCCATCAAGTCCTGCGAGTGAAATGGTTCCGGTCCATACAGGATATTATTCCCAGCATAACTACCTGTTTACTTGCTATCATTTTTGTTGCTTTTAATTCCGTGTGTGCTTGCAGCATTGCAGCAATTGTAGGTTACATTCTATGTTCTGTCAATTCCCCCCAGCGTCACAGAAAAACAGTGCAGTTATCTTTGGTCTCTTATTGCATCATGTGTCAATGCATGTGGGGGCAAGAGGGGTATAGCTAATTATAGGTATATACAATGGAATATCAAGTGCTCAATGCATGTGCTTAGCTACATATCTGCTCACGAAGAGCAGGTCAAAGTTTCTTGAGCAGTCACCTTTTTCGTACGCAGGGATTCCTTCGCAATGTTAGTTCGATGGCCCTGTATTAACTTGCCTGTACAGATATAAAGCTAGGGTCATTTTCTGGCAATTCATGGTCACGTGTCTGATGGCCTAACTGTGATGTTTGAGATTGATGTTATTAAGCATTACGTAATAGGCTAAATACATCATTGTACTGACACAATCACAGTTTGAGATGTAAGGAAGAGCAGTTTTTATTGCGTAGTCACACTGAGATGAATGCATCAGTATCTGTCACGATTTGTTTTATCCTGCTAATAGCCAAGTATGCAGCAGGTAAGAGATATAGCTATAGCTATAATGTATAAACCTCAAGATTCTTCCAGCTAGAGCCGTCTGCACTGATGGGGACGTTAGGCTAGAAGATAAAGAGAGTGATTATGTAGGGAGAGTTGGGCTCTGTTACAAAGGAGTCTGGGGCACAGTTTTTGATAGAGAAATCAATGATAATGCTGCTATTATTGTATGCAGACAACTTGGATTGCCAAACCATGGTTAGCTTATTAATACTTTCGAAATACTCTTTCACCATTGGCATGCAGATCCTAAAGTTGTGCTGCAGTATGCTGGAGCTAAGGGTCGAGTTCACTTCATTCAAATAAGCTGCACGGGAAACGAAGCAAATTTGCTAGAGTGTAGAAATGAGGAGTCTGGATATAGTGGTCCTGGTAGCTGGTTTGGACGGGACTTTGGTGTGAGTTGTGGTGAGTTTGTTAACTTACTTCAAGTTTAGAAATGGTGTATCTCAAGAGCCAATTCCAACGATTCATTTGTGATGTTGCACAATGCATATACAATTATGCAACATCACCTGCTATTGGGTAGCTACCCAAATGAGTTTCACTCTCAGAGTAACCGTTTACGATTCTAGGGGATTGGGATGAGCCATCAAAGTATGCTGTGCCTTACTTCAAAACAGTAGTTTTTCATCATGCGTTTTGTGCAATCAGAGAGTCGGTAGACTCTCTATATAGGGACGACACGGGTGAAATCTCACGTGATCCGCGTACAAAACGACTAAAATCTCGGTGAGAATCACTCCCTAGGCCTTCAAAATATACTAGCAATAGTCTACGGGCCCATATCTACCTATACATATCCCCCAAGACCTCATACGCACCTTCAGTCGTCCACGCGAGAATTCGCTCATACGCGATTTCACGATTTTCGTGTCATCATCATATTCTTCATCTTCTTCTTCTTCTTCTTCTTCTTCTTCTTCTTCTTCTTCTTCAGACCCGCTAGCTCCTTACCGGAAGCACTTGAAGCGTTGATTTTTTCACAGAACGTCTCCGAATTTGCCGGAGGTGTGCATGCATATCAAGCGATCGTTTCTTTCTTGCCGCAAGTCACTACGGTAGATCGTTGAGCTCTTCCTCGGTAGTCACTGAACAACGCCATTTGTTGCTAACTCAGCATCAGTGAGCCGCATGCGCCGAGGAGGGCGTTTCCAATGCGGCGCGCGCGCATTTTGTCTCGTAAACCTGGTCCACGAACGAGACTAAGCCAGGACTGGATGCCTTCAGAGAAAACTACTCTCATCCTTCGGTGCCTTCTGTAAGTCAGTGTGCACATTTGTAAGTGGCTAGCTTGCGTTTTGCTGTTGATTTGCACGAGGAGCAACTTGGCAATCTGCGCCGTGTTACGCGTGCCTTGCCAGGCGCCTTCATTCTTTGTCCCCCAGGTTATAGCTATCATTGTAGTCTGATTACTGAAGCCTGCCTATGAAACCACCCCACCATATGTGCCACAATCTAATTGCATCCTTGTTGGAGACACTACACATACACCCTGCTTCAGGTAGGAGCAGCCCATTAGCTTCTGCTTTCAACAGTTATCTCTACAACACCCATGAACATCAGAGTGACTGAAAATGCAGTGTTGTCATAAGGCGTGAAAAATAGTGGAAACAAGTGGAAAAATCATTTCTTCAAAATGAAAGGGGGATATAGGGATGGCTTGAAGCACCAAAAAGGATGAAACAAGGGGTCATTACACAGCAAAGATGCACAAAGCTACATGACACCATCCCTATATCTTTGTGTTATTGTTCACAACCAATCTCGCCCTGCTGACATTTTCCTCCCTAATTGGGAAAGAGCCGCGCTTGCCGTCTCCGTCATTTCCACTCTGCAACAGTTTACCTTGAAGTAAAGTTTAATATGAGACAAAGATATAGGGATGGTGTCATGTAGCTTTGTGCATCTTTGCTGTGTAATGACCCCTTGTTTCATCCTTTTTGGTGCTTCAAGCCATCCCTATATCCCCCTTTCATTTTGAAGAAATGATTTTTCCACTTGTATAATATAGCTAGCGCCAACACCTGTGCTTGCATGTCCCGAGGTAGAAAGGCAAAGTTGCATAATGTCAGTCTGCAGCGTAAACTATACGAGTCAACAAATGAGGTGAGGTAAGGCAAATCAACTACCCCCAGGACAGCTCTTTTTCTAGAGGAGCTGCCCTGTGCGGGATTCGAACAAAGACACTCTGTTGTTTATAGGTAAGCACTGTACCAACTATACATGTTGCTACATGCACCAAGTGATTACTAAATTCCACTCAGCTCCACCTTGCACTGATGGTGAGGTGCGGCTACTGAGGGACAGAGTTCAGACTTGCCAAGACCAACGCTGGGGCTATGTCTGTTATGATAGGGGCTGGACTCGTCAGGATGCGCAAGTAGTGTGCAGAGAGCTTGGGTTCTCATCAAAAGGTTACTGACTAATATTATTACTTTATTTCTCATCACCATTTCACCCCACTTGACAGATGCATTAGTGGATTACCACATTTTTGTGTTTGGTCAACATACATTCCCCTACTTTGTGAATAAAACTAACTGCAATGGGTCAGAGGGACATCTTCTGGACTGCCCAGATGTTAATGAAACTCTTTTGTGTGGATCTAGAACTGCAGCCAAGGCATATTGTTCAGGTAAACCTATTTTTAAAGCACACAAAAACAATCCCCTTAAGTATGGATGGAAAGAGTAAGACGTGAATAAACATTCTGTACATGTTTTGCTTTACTACCCTGCTGGAAGGCACTATTTATCCCAAGGAAAGTATTACAAAGATGAAGGGAAGACAATTTTTCAGTGCATATTGTAGCTGCACATTGTACATTTAGAATGAGTCCTTATAAACATTAAAGAGATCATGTGCAATGTCATCATGTGCTTTATCAAACATAATTAGGGACCCAAGAGTGTAATGGAACGCAGACAGTTCGTCTTCAGAAGATTGTTAAGGGTTTGGAAAATTATGGAAGGCTGGAAGTTTGTTATGAAGGATACTGGGGAAGTGTATGTGATGATTCCCTTCATCATTCCGAAGTATTGCCGTCTGCATTAGTAGCTTGCAAAGAACTGGGATATTCAAAAGTCATGAAAGGTAGCTATATAGCTAATCCCAATGCACTATTGACTATTGATAATCAATCTCACGTATCACAGCGGAGTTTACCCCCATTGGGAGAACTGTCTACAGCCTCCCAAGTATTCCTATTGTGGTAGATGATATACGATGTGCTGGTGACGAAACGTCTCTCCTCGATTGCCAGAAAAGTATCAAACTGCATAACTGCATAAGTTGGGAGGATGTAGTGTTGCATTGCAGAGGTAAAAGACATTTGAAAAATATTGAACCTTTGTCATCTTAATGCTTAGAAAGAGAGTGCAATGATACTGATATACGCCTGGTTGGTGGACGGACGTCATTGGATGGGGAAGTTGAAGTTTGTCATAATCATCTCTGGATGCCAGTTTGTAGCGAGTCATGGGACAAGAGAGAAGCAGAAGTAGTTTGCGCACAACTAGGACACAAAAGAAGTAAGACTCTTTGCATGTATAGCACAATATCTCATTTAAACACTGTTACAGGATCTTATGCCTTGAAAGAATATGAACTTCCTGATCCAACGGAAGGTGTAAATATATTACCGTGCTATGGAAATGAGACATTGTTGACAAACTGCAATTATGACATAACAGAGTGTACATCGAGAGCAGCAGTCGTGTGTACTGGTTAGCTACTCTCTTTCTTAGAATCTGCAGACTAAAAATCTTTCGACAGATACTACATGTGAGGAAGATGGTGTGAGGTTGGTAGGTGGTCACAGTGTGAAGGAAGGGAGATTTCAAATGTGCCATGAGGGAGAGTGGCACTCAGTCTGTGCTGACTCCTGGAGTGAGAGTGGAGCTGAGGCCAGGACTGTCTGTGCTACACTGGGATACATAGGAGACTCAGGTATGGCACTTAGGGAAGCTCTTCTTTTTTCCTTGAGTTGGCTTAGGTGCAGTTGATTTGTCTTTCCCTTTTTACCACATCGATGTCACACATGCTTTCCTAAGACATTTTGATAACACCCATTTCCTCTTTCAGTCACAGCTGATTTTGGAAGAGATCACACACCATTACTTCCAATGGATATCCAGTGCAATGGAGTAAAAGATGAACTTAACTTGTGCATTTTTACAAATCGAAGCAGTTCCTTTGAGTGCAAGAAAGTGGCTAGTGTCATCTGTGATGGTTTGAATAGCTTTTCATAAAAATAATTGTTATAGTAATGAATGATGTCCTTTTCTTCCAGCTCGCTGCACATTGGAAGACATCTCCTTTTGTACTGACTGTAGTGGTCCGTCTTCAATCTGTTCTATTTATGACAACTGCTTTTGCTCATCTGATTGTTTTATTTCCGGGAAATGCTGTCCGGATGTGGAAAGCTATTTGCAATGCTTAAGTGAGGATCACACAATCTTGTTTTTCTGGACCGTGTGGTTGACTTGTTTTGACCCAGATGTAGATGACTGTCAGACAGAGGAGGTACGTCTGGTCGGAGGGGTGACAGGATCCTCGAGTGGAGTGGTGGAAGTGTGCGTGAATGGAGTGTGGGGCACTGTCTGTGACTACAACAATGAGTGGACTAATGAGAATGCAGCAGTAGTTTGCCGCCAACTGAATTTACCAATATCCAGTAAAACATAGCTACTTTGAAGAAAACCATTCTGTTCATAGCCAGCTTTTGTTTTAGATGTTTCGGCATTGCCATTTTCTGTGTTTGGATCTGCTTCAAGTGGTCCAGTTCTCTTTGACAGTGTTCACTGCATGGGAACTGAAGGCAATCTCCTGGACTGTCCTCATTCGAGTGTCGGTAACCATTTCTGCCACCAAGAATTTCCTTCAACTGTAGCTGTCCCGGTGCACAGGTTCAGTGGTATTATAATATGACATAATGGTTGCTATACTCTGACTACCACATGTTCCAGCGGACTGTGAGGAAGGAGAGGTGAGACTACGGGACGGTATACATGAGTCCAATGGTCGTGTGGAGACTTGCCAGAACGGGATATGGGGCTCTGTTTGCAGTGATAACATGTGGGATGTCCACGATGCTGGTGTGGTTTGCAGACAACTTAACTTCACATCAGATGGTATATAAATTAAATATTCCCTAATTAATACAAATTTCTTTTTTCATTTTACTAAGATGTTCGAGTAACTGAAATGTTTGGGAGAGAGGGTCCAGTGCTAATGAGTAATGTTGGTTGTAATGGATCAGAGACTGGACTCCACCTCTGTCCTAGTAACAGGTTTGGCAGCCAGCCCTGCGAAAATGGAACTGCAGGGATAATATGCAACACAAATTTTGGTGAATGCTCAGTTAAGTTAGCTTTCTCTAAAAGGTGTGCAAATAAACCATTATGAATGCTTGCACACTGATGTATCATCTGCATTTCAGTTATCGTCCAATACATTACATTCTGCGATCACAGAGACATGTTCATGATTGCATATCTGAGGAAATGTCATGGGTTGTATAATATTCTTCGACATGTGAAAGTCTACTGTCACTGCTTTTTCCAGATACTCACAACAGGTGTAATGATGAAAATGGCACCCCACCTGAAAATTGGAACACTCTGAGTAAGACTGAAAGGTATCTCTGTACTCGACTATGTTGACCAGATCGATATAGAATGATGATAATTAACGTTTGTTAGGTTTGGTTATTGTGAGCCGTATGCTGGCACTGCAAACTCTGTAATAAGATATTCAGAGAAAGTATGACTATGATTTATTGTGGCTGTCACGGGAGTCAGAAAAACATATCCTCAATTATTGACAGTTATGAAATCCACCTTATCTTGAAAGCAATCCTTGGAAGATGGTGATGAATGTACGAAAACATTCTGAGAGTGATTTGTAATATTAATTGATGCATGTGGGACAGAAGTCGGTAAAAATACCACCATATTCTGTATGTCTGAAGAGTGTCAACTGTTGAGAGAGACTGTCCATAGTTTGGAGAACTGCCAGAGCACGCACTAGAGAATTACAATTCATCAGCTGTGATAAAACGTCTAGCTTTATCTTCCTCTTCCAAGTGTGGTACAGCATGGGCCATAAATGGTCAAATGAACCCGGGGTAGGTGCATGCATGAATGTACCACAGAGTGTTTTTTGATTATACTAATATCTGCAGACACAAAAACATCTCGTGTGAACGTGATTGGTGTTGGTGGAGGACGTGTAGTGAGTTTCTTCTGTCTTATAATCTCTCCGTGGCAATGCTACTACTTTATGTCTACGTTAAGAGGAGAATAAAACATAAGAGGATACAAACAGTTCAAAGGGATATACTCCGAATGTATATGGCTATAGGTAACACTTACAAATAATTTTATTTTCACTGTTAATGGCATGCCGGGTGAACTAGCAGTCAAAACATGACGAAGAGCCACCTGTCACTGCTCACTTTAAACACCACACCAGGCTTAACCCTATGTAAGTTAACAATATATTTGCAAATGAAGTGAGTGAGCCTACCTACCTAGTCATCTGATTTTAGGACACTGCCACTTATTGCATGGCTCAACACTCAATTAATTATGTAGCTGCGAAAGAACAGCCTCTCACTGGACAGTGTTTGCTCAAAGTGGAGCATCCTGAGAGCCGTGGTCGCCTTAACTCACGCTATGTACGCGAGGCTGACACGTGGAAAGTTCTCATTAGAAGCCAAGAGTGTCACAGCTAGATGATAGGGAAGGTAAATATAATAATATCCAAATTCAACTTTTAGTTAATAAATGTATTCTAGGAGAATTTGGGGTTGTGTATAAAGCTATACTGGGTCCTAAGGGAACATTTAGTCGTGAGGTGGCTGTTAAGACGCTAAAAGGTTGGTCCAGAATAAAAATGTTCACGTAGTCCATATTTTGATGAATACAGGTTGTTTTGACCAACAAGAGGTGGATAAGTTTGTTGAGGAGAGCCTGAAGATGAGCCGGTTCAAGCATGCTCATGTGATGGGACTCATGGCGGTGTTGCTTAACGATGTCGGGTCACTGCCCCACGCCTCAAACTCAGCGACAATGACTCACCATGGCTTCAAAATCACTAGCAATAGTCTAGAGGCCAATACCTATATATCCCCAAGACTTCCTACGTGCCCTCAGTTCCCCACGAGAGAATTCGCACTTAACGCGATTTCGCGATTTCGTGTCATCATAAATCATCATATTCTTTCTTCTTCAGACCCGCTAGCTCCTTACCGGAAGCAGTTGAAGCGTTGATTTTTCACAGAACGTCTCCAAATTTGCCGGAGGTGTGCACGCATATCAAGCGATCGCTTGTTTCTTGCCGCAGTCACTACGGTAGATCGTTGAGCTCTTCCACAGTAGTCACGGACAACGCCATTTGCTGCTGCAACTCAGCATCAGTGAGCCGCATGCGCCGAGGAGGGCGTTTCCCCAATGCGGTGCGCGCGCATTACTATAGTCTCGTGCGTGAGCAGACTAAGCCAGGATGCGCTGCAGAGGAACTCTTATCCTCCAGTGCCTTCTGTAAGTCAGTATACACATTTTTAACTGGCTAGCTTACGTTTTGCTGTTGATTTGTACGAGGAGCAACTTGGCAGTGTGCGCCGTGTTACGCGGGCCTTGCCCAGCGCCTTCATTGTTTGTCCCCCAGGTTATAGCTATCATTGTAGTCTGATTACTGAAGCCTGCCTACGAACCACCCCACCATATGTGCCACAACCTAATTGCATCGTGTTGGAGGCACTACGCATACACCCTGCTTCAGTAAGTTAGCTTCTGCTTTCAACAGTTATCTCTACAACACCCATGAACATCAGAGTGACTGAAATACAGAAGGCATGAAAAATAGTGGAAACAAGTGGAAAAATCTTTTCTTCAAAATGAAGGGTGATATAGGATGGCTTGAAGCATCAAAAAGGAAGAAAACAAGGGGTCATTGGCTGGCAGGCGCGCGATGGAAAAATAGACCGTGCGCATTCCTAGTAACAGAGGATCAGTCACAAAACACATTGAGTCCTCTCTTAAGACCTCGAACGAGTATTCGGACACCGCATGATAGCTAACATAAACTATGCTGTCATGTTAAATACCAATGAGATCATGTCACGGTTCATAGTATACAAGTGACTCATTCTTCACAAATGAAGGGACAGATAGGGATGGCGTGAAGGAAGAACAAACGGGGTCATTACAGAGGAAAGATGCACAAGCTACGTGACACCATCCCTATATCTTTGTCTCACGTGAAGTAAACTATTACTTGCTGAACTATATATAACACAAAGATCTAGGGATGGTGATCATGTAGCTGGATGCATCTTTGCTGTGATAATGTCCGCGACTGAGCCCGCTCGTGCGCGCGCTCTACTGACTGCGCGACGAAGCCCGACTTCTGCGCGCACGGTCGGAAGCTAGACTCCTAGGATGACGGAAGTTACACTCTTTTGTGGTAATGGACATTCCTAGCCGTGACTAATTGACGACGTACCTACGTACGTACGTACGTATCTAGTGTGCCTCACGCTAACGCGGCTCGCAATTAAATGCAGATCCAGGATGTTCAAAAGCGTCTGATGGTGATGTGCAACCAATAGCTAGTGGTATGAGTATCTGGCTGCTGAAAATATGTTCACAGGGATTTGGCAGCAAGGAACTGCATGTGAGAAAGCGCACTTTCCTGTCCTCATATATACTAATTATACAATCATCTAGGATTGATTCCCATTTCTTTTTTTTGTTTTGTGCTTTGGTGATAAAGATCTCAGACTTTGGTCTGTCAGAGGACGTGTTCCGAGGACTACTATAGAGAGGGAGTGGATGGAGAGATGGCCAACTCCCTGTCAAGTGGATGGCTCAGAGAGTCTCAGTGATGGCCACTTCTCAGAGAAAAGTGTGTGGGTATGTCAGTCAAGATGTCGTGAAAAAGAGAGAATGTGTTCTGTGATCTTTACTAGTGGTCATTTGGAGTGACAATGTGGGAGATATTCAGTGGGGGTAAGTCCCCGTATCCTGGGACCAATCCCGTCAGCCTAATGCAGATGTTGGAGGGAGGAGAGAGGATGCCTAAACCATACAACTCAGCATGTTCTGATGAAATGTGAGTTTGATAGCTAACAATTACGGACAATAATGATGTCACTCTCCTATATTATACCAATGGTTACATGATGATGTTGGAGTGCTGGGAGTCAGCTCCAGACAAGAGACCTTCTTTCAAGACATTATACACAAACACCTCCAAGTTCATTGAAGGACTAGCTGGTTACCTGGAGGTGGGATTTAACCCCTTTGTAGCCCAGACTGCCACTGAACCAGGAGATGAAGAGACTACTAATGAGAGGAGTGAGGACGAGGAGAGAGAGGAAGGACTGGACAAGCCAGTTGTGACGGTCAAAGTCATTCCTCCATCTGTTGAATCTGGAGGTAAATTCCCAGAGTAGCTATTCAATCAAGAAATGTGCTGTGACTTTAGATGATATATAGATTGGCTTTTTTTTTTTTTGCAACAGTTATGAATGATCTGTTCAATTTAAATTTAAGCAGCAGCAGGTAAAAAGTGTGTGCTTGACACACTTACAAGGATGTGAATGTGGAAAAACATGTCCTTTCTAAATGCTGTGAATTAATGGCACTGTGTGCATGCACAGTAAACACATTCCGCTTACTGCATGTGTCTATAGTGCATACTGTATTGCACTGCCAAATGTAACTAAGACACATGCGTTCCAATGAAAAAAAGTAGAACACAATTATTAGACACTTGGTAATGGTCATGGACTGCACGATATCCAGTATCACATTCACACCGGACCAGCTACCAGTAGAAGTGCACGTGACACTCAGACTAGAGCCAATTGTATTGTCAGTGCACTGTGTAGTGACAGTCACTGATCTTCTATGAGAGGCAAGTGTATATAGCAGGATATCACACTAGACCCACACTTTGTGCTGGCAGAAAAGAGAAGACTTTACCTCTTGCATTCATAAAAATGTGTGTGGAGGAAAATTTACACAAGCAAGCAATGTCAGTTCCAAGTATATATGTAGCCATCATCCATTGTATTACTGCATTTAATTTACTAGGTCATCCCTGTGTTGTCTCCTTGCTTTGCTATATTGTCGCCACCTTTACTGTTTGTTTAGTGAAGTGTGAGGACAATGGTGAAAGGATTCTGTATGTAGATGGCCAAGAACGCACATTGTCTAAACTGGTTAGTTGAGCAAATGTAGAAGTCTTAGACTTCACACAATGCAGTCACAACTGAAAATCGAGCAGGTGGGGTTACCTGTCTAATGTGCTCATGAAATAAATCATAGTTGTGCATACACAAGGGAGCACACTCGTACTTCGCGACAATATAGGGCTTGTGTGGAGGAAATTTTACACGAGCAAGCGATGTCAGTTCAAAGTATGTAGCTATCATCCATGGTACTACTGCAGCATCACGTTCACACGGTCATCCCTGTCTTGTCTCCTTGCTTTTATGGCCGTCCCCTATATTCCACACTTTACCAATTCGAAGAATTTTTATATTAGCTACTGTCTTCTTTGAATTTTTAATCAACACTCTCTATTGCAAGTAGCTCAAATCAGGTGATGGTCATCCATCCCAGCATGGACAGCAAGTCAGCAACCCTGTTCTTCCTGTATTCGATTTGCATCACTTCACTGCCTAGCTCCTTGCTCTGCAACTCTTTATGTGAGGATCCGCAGTTCACAAGTTAAAGACGTTCCACGTCCCGACAGGGTATTCATACATTACCTACTTTCTTTCTTTAGTTCGTGAGTCTCCGACTATTTCAGAAGGTACAGTACTAACGTACTTACAATGCAGGACGAGCTACTCTGTATAATAAGTCTCGGAGTGTCTGGTTTGATCAACATACATTGTTTTTGCGATCGTCAGTCGTGTACGTGACGTCTAGAGCAGGAAGAGATAGAAGAAGCAAGAGAATTGAAGAAAAAATGAAAAGCATAAGTGCAAACAACCCTCGCGACATGCGGCATGTGCGGTTACCACTAATTGCAGTGGGCTGGGCTTTTATATGCCTTACTCGTGGATCGCCCCGCTAGTGTAGTCTCGCGGAGAGTCTTGGTACGGGCTAGCTACAGTAGTAAATAGCATGCGGGAGTCGATACATGCCCTTCGTTGTGACTTGTTGTGCCTTCAAGACACACAGAGCGAACGACAGGGGGCAGTGGGCGTGGTCAATGACATCACTCCACTGTCTCTGTGTGCTACATTGTTGGTCTCCATAGCTTGTGTCCTCCTTTTTTACTTTATTACTGTCACCTCTTTTGTATTGTGTCTGTCTATGAACGTATGTACACAAAATGTTTTGTCTACAGTCTCCATGCGAAGATTGGGTCGAACAAAAATATTATCCTACATGTGCACACAGGGGATCTTGATATTAGGGTAACACCAATCACAAATTTTGACGTGCCACAAAGTTAAAATCTTCAAATAGTTTACCATGATCTTCAAGAGCACCTGCAGTGAAAGGGAAGAAGAGGATGAGAGAAGGAAAAGTGGAGTGGTATTATTATACCTTCATCTCGTGGAGGTGTCAGGTTAGGGCTCTGGTCGGTGAATTTCTTCTCAAAGTAGAGAGTACTTGTCTCAGACTTGATGATGGGGATAAAGGGAGGAGTGATCCTCTTGTTGTAGACATCGTCCCAGTTGATGGACTCGAAGAACACATGGGACTTGACCTCCTCTGCATCTCCTCTCCTCCACCCAGTCTGCAGGATATACACATGTCCTCAATTCATTTGTTCCCCATCCCCTCTCTCTCTGAGTGTAACCAACCGTTCTGTAGGATCTTTTTCCAGTAGGCTCTCAAGTAGAGACTTGGCTTCCTCTGACAGGCCCAGTGGAATCTTCACTTCTTCCTGTAGTGCCGCATGTACATCATGATCCTGACACTTGTCCAAACCAAGCTAATACTTCACCTTACAATGAGGTCAAAGAGAACTGCCCCACCTTCAGGAGAATAGAATGGAAATTTCCCTGACATCATTACATACATGGCCACACCCACTTGCCACCAGTCCACTTCCCGCCCATATTTTTCTCCCAACATCTGGGGTGCAAGGGTAACCACAGTCAACATTGACATCACATTATGATAATAAGTGAGACCACACCCACCTCAGGGGCCATGTACTCAGGAACACCACAGAAGGTTCTAGTGGTGTGTCTAAAGTACATGCCTTCCTTGCAGTGGCCAAAGTCTATGATCTTGATGTGTCCCTTCTCATCCAACATCAGGTTCTCCAACTGTCGTTGAAGTCAATATGTTAAGTGAAGAGGTGATGTTTATGACCGCGTAAGCGCTGGCACGTATGGCATGGAGGGTTATGTAAACCTTCATATCTCGGTGGACCACTCCTATGCTGTGGAGGCACTGGATTCCAAGAATTATCTCAGCTCCATAGAATCTGGTGAGGTACTCTGGGAATACTCCCACTCTACTGAGATGAAATTCTAGATCTCCTCCTCTCACATATTCTGTCACTAAACACAACCAGTCGGGAGTCTGGAATGAGTACTTGAGACTCTGGGCAAAGAGAGAGAAGATAGCCATACTACGAGGACCTGAGAGAGAACATGGTGGGCGTACAACAAGGAAAGGATGAGAGGTCTTCTGCAGAATTTTATTCTCTGCTAAAGCATGGGCAAACTTATCCTTCCTGAGTATCTTCATGGCCAGTATCTCTCCTGTTGTCTTCTCCTTACCCATCACCACCTATGGAGAAAGAAGAGAACTCCATGGTCCAGCACTACACATCACAGTCCCCTTACCTTTGAAAATGATCCTTTTCCAAGAACCTTCACGATCCTGAAGTCCTCCATTGTCTGAAGGAAAGTGGGAAGGCATAGAGGAGATGCAATTCTATTCATGGAAGAGTAAAATTTACCTTGATAGATTGTGAGATAGGAGAAGGACCAGGAGACAAAATCTTTCCTTCGCCTCTCCCTTCTCCCCTACCAGTCACACCAAAGTCCTTTACGGTCTGAGGGAAAATGGAGAGGAATAGAGGGGATACAATTGAAAGAAACATTATTACTATAATAATATTATATATATACCTTGAAAGTAGGAGAGGGACCAGGAGATAAAGTCTTGGTCTTTGGAGGGACTGGAGGAGGGAGTGGTAGGCGAGGAGGAAGGGGTGGAGGGAGTTGTGGGCGAGGAGGAAGGGGTGGAGGAGTTTTTGCCTCATCCTCATCACCATCTCCCGATGAGAAGTTCTCTGACAGAATTGTCTTAACCTGCTCTGCTAATTCAATTTCCTGCACTTTGGTTGATTCAAGAACTCTGACAACTTCCGTTAACACTGATCTGATTCTATGAAATGATGTTTCACTTTTGTCTATGAAAGAGGAGTTGGAAGGCATGAAACTACAAAACTGCTATATCTAAATAGGATAACTTACTTGCTTGTTTAACAACACTTGTATATTCAGTTTTTTTCACTTCATACTTTCTGACTGGTGTGTATACATGTGGTGTCTTTGCTGCATCAGAAATAATACAGTCCTACCCTCCTCATATTATTATACACATTAATGACCATAACACTGAATATTAATACACAGCATTCCAACCTCCTCTCCCTTTACCTAAATGTGAGTGATGTTTATATAGCTGCATACCTGGCAAGAAGTCTGTCATAAGGTACTGAGCACTACAAGACCCAGTCCCCATTCCACTGTCTCCAGTCTGATCATCATCCTCTTCTGTCACTCCTGTGGCTGGTGACACAAGTGAATGAACAGTTTTGGAAGTAGGATACTGTTCTAAGGTAGTATAATTATATAGACACACAGCTGCACATTATCCTCCACTCTACAGTGGCAAACAAAACGTTTAAGCCATCTGGAAAGTTTTCTTCCTCTATGATTTGCATGCAGAGCTATGAGGTAATAACTACACATTTACCGTTATCTTGGATTTTCTGAACAGTATCGTTATACAGGTATGTGAAGTCAGGTGTAACGGCAGCCAAAACCATTTCTGCACAGTCAGGATGAACCCGCAACTGCACCAGAACTGAACTTTCAGCGACGCTCTCAATATACACGCCATAGGAGTGAACGGAGGCATTCTCTGCGATTGCTTCCTTTTGCTTTTGAATCTCATGAAGTGTACATTCAGAAATTTTCTTTTGGATTTTCATAGCCATTCGAGTAAATCCCCTGCAAATTTCACCATCAGGAAGAGCTGAAATGTCTTTGAGGTAGACATCAACTGTAGTGCATAGTTCAAACATATCTATCGCACTACAATACATTGTAATGCTCGTCTTCAACTTAACATCACCGAATTTTTTTACAACATGCACAATTATCTCATAGTTTCGATAGTTACAGTAACGCCCAATGATGGCAAACAACTTTCGAATATTTTCGGCTTTGAGAATTTCATCTTCATTCTTTTCGAAAAACTTGATATGGATAGCTTTTTTCGCAACAGGAAAATTAAGAAGAAAATCAGAGAAAGTCTCCAAAAATTTCTTGTCTTGTTTCTCTCTCTCAGAAAGTAATGCTCGTGTCTCGCATGTTATCTGTAAAAACTCATCTTCAAGATTTTCTATTTCAGCCTTGACCATTTCAATGCTCCTTTATTCTGTGATGGCTGGTTGGCTAACTGGTGAAGTGGTTGAAAAAATAGCTCGATTAGCGGGAAAAGTGGGGACTGGCGGTGGAAAAAGGGCAGGAAAATGAGTTGCTTCTAAGGTTTTAGCTAGTGCCGGTAGGTCGACCATCGGATTCCCGAGAGCTCCTACAATCACCCTCCATGTCGGTCTCCGCTGCACTTGCTGCAAAAACCTGATCAGAACTTTCAGCAGGTATTTGTCGGGCGGCGAGTCCTTGGAGTGGATGGCCTCCACGACGTTTTGCGGGAGTTTCAACTTGAGCCCCAGCTCGTAGGACTTGTTCTGTGCCGGCAGTAGCTCCTCCAACACGTCCACCGCATCGTCTGGTGTTAGCGTGGCGCCACCTGCATCAGCGTAAAACCCTCGTAAGCTTCTCTCCTAGCTAGGCTAGCAATGATATGTACGGTTTTTACCTTCGGCCATGAAGACGACGTCGCCCCTACCACTCAGACCGCTTTACAAAAGAGGGGCGGGGCTTGGCTATCGCAGCAAATCCTCGGCGGATTGCGCATGCGCGATACTGCTAATTGATGGGCTGGGCTATTTGTACTCGCGGTCTCCAGCTAGTAGCTCGCGGAGAGTCTGACACGGGCTAGCTACAGTAGTAGATAACATGCGGGAGTCGATACATGCCATTCGTTTTGACTTCCTGAGCCCCCAAGGTACACAGAGCGAGCGGATCAGGTCGCTGTAAGCCCAGTGCGATTATGCATATTGCATTTTTTGCTTTGTTTTAACAGAATATCTCTCGAGCGCAGTCATTTCAGGAAAATCGCTCTTTTACTTTTCAGGCTCGCGTAGTTCTGAAGCCGCTGCTATCGCTTATACGCCGCCTCGTAGCCTGTAGTGCCAGAATAAGCGTCGACACACAAGACAGAACGACTACAGTAACCCTCGCCGAGGGTTAAAGGTTCCGGAGAATTGTGCGTGGGCGTACGTTTCAGATTTTTTTCAATAGCACAGCTAAAACGCCATTTAGGTATTATTTCTCGAATTTTTTCTTATATACCTTGTTTTCCAAACTTATTAGCATATTCATATTCCTCCTCCATACATTCTCTATGGGAGAGAAAACTCATGCGCGACTCACCCAGGAGCGAACGGTCCGTCTCCATTATGCGCAGTGGTACGCGGGAAGAAAAAATGGCGTGACCGCAAAGGTCAACGTGAAAACGTAATGCTCAAAACTTGGCCACGCCTATTTTTCGGGATGGCGCCTGCGCGTGCCGCAGGAGGCAGAAAGAACGCCATTGCGCATAATGGAGACGAACCGTTCGCTCCTGGGTGAGTCGCGCATGGGTTTTCTCTCCCATAGACAATTTATGGAGGAGGAATATGAATATGCTAATGAGTTTGGAAAACAAGGTAGGAAAAATCCGAGAAATATACCTAAATTCTACGAGGCGCCGTGTTCTAAAACTCATTCTCCAAAAACGCATATATAGGTAATATGTCCACTATATTATATATATAAATTTGCTGCAATATTTAGGATATGTACGACGGCATTTATAAATCGACCATGACATTTATAAATCGACCAGGAAATGAAACTGCATAGCCAAGGGCGGGTGTGGCGTGCGCATGCGAAAACCCTTTTTATGGAATTATGCACTCAAGCGTCCGTGTCAATTACATCCAGTGGAATCATAAATGTCACGGTCGATATATAAATGTCATGGTCGATTTATAAATGTCATGGTCGATTTATAAATGTCGTCGTACATATCCTAAATATTGCAGCAAATTTATATATAGTGGACATATTACCTATGTATTTTTAGAGTTTTGGAACAAACGGCGCCCCGTAAAATTTACCATAAATCACTAGCGTTTTTGCCCACGCACAATTCTCCTGAATAGTCCGAGTGGGCGTGGCTATTTTCCCACTGAAAGATGGCCGACTACGGCGAGCCTCAGGAGATCACAGCGCTTCGCACCAATATTACCTCCCTCACTGACACGGTGACGGTCGGAGACAATCTACAGTGGTTTTCAAACTGCCTCGTGGAGAAAGCCTTCGTTGCTCAGAGGGCCGCGCAGGCAATCCTCGGCGGCGGAGCCACGCCCGCGCACAAGGCCCGTCAGCTTATTGACGGTGTTTTCGCTGTAATCCGAACGTCGGACAGGAAGAGCCACAGGTTTGCTGAGTTCGTATCTATTTTCTCCACCGACCTAGCCTACGCAGAGCTAGTCGAGAAACTGAAACGCCACGTCGGCCAAACAAACCAGCAACAGCTACAACCTCCCATTCCAGCCAGCTCTCCGCTAGTTCATCTCTACACGTTCCTGCGTCTTTGGGCACCACGCTAGGTTCAACCACTGAGCGAGGTGACAGATCACCGCCGAAAAGTATAAATGCAGATGCTTCACGGTGTCCAAATACATCTTTGCTCTACTCTAGGAGAATGGCTGCCTCTTCTAGAATGTCGCTATCAGACGTCGTGGCTGCTCTTGACGCACTCACCATTGAACAGACCAAAGAACTTGCGGTTCGTTTCGGAGTTGAGCTCAAAACTGTTCAGGACATTGAGAATGAGTACAAAGGCAGCAGTCGTAAGATCCTCACCATCCAGGCCTGGCTAGACCAAGACACCCAGGCCAGCTGGGGAAAGTTAGTCTCTGGCCTCCAAAACATCAAGATGAACAGTCTTGCAAAGCAAGTGGCCTCCCAGCATTGTCTCCAGTCACCTGGAGCTGCCAGTCCTTCCACTGATGGTCACCAGCCAGCCACAGTCCGGTCTGTGGCCACACCAGCTCCGCTGACTCCTGCTGCTCCCTCTCCTCCTCCTCCTTCAACTGATCCCAACCAGCCCACCTCTCCACCTCCTAGTGATCGCTACCAGCCTGTGGCTCCTCCAGCCACTGCACCAGCCACTGGTTCTGAGGAGTCTCCTATCCCATCATCCTCCACCACATCCTCTTTATCTCCCTGTCCCACCTCCACCCACTCCCCACAACCCTTCCACCTCATCCTTCTGGAGTCCTGAGAAGGTCAAGGCCACCATTCAGGAGCTGGAGGCAAAGTTCCTTGACCTCAATACTGATGCCGAGGAAGAAATTTGTGAAAAGGAGGCTCGAGACAAGAAGTTTCTCAGAAAGTTTCGCAAATACCTTCAACTTCTGCCGGCTGCAAAGAAGGCACCTCATGTCAAGTTCTTCCGTGAATGTGAGCAGGAAATTCTCGGTGCCAAAGATGCTCTGGCAATTCTCGCCATTCTCTGTCGCTACATTGATTACCGCAACTACGAGATTCTGCGTGACATAGTCCTCAAGTTCTGTGGCCCTCCACTGCAGACCAGCATGCAGGACTACTGCAAGATGTTGGAGGTGTTTGAAACCTCTACATCAGTCGACGTGTACATCAGCACTGTTCCAGATGAGGTGACAGAAGACCAGAAGAAAGCATTCTCTAAATGGTGTGAAGATTGACAAGCCTGCATCGCAGTGTACACTGCATGATGTTCGAAAGCTCAACGAAGCAATCATTGCAAGTTCAGGTCTCTGTCCTCACAGTGTGTACATCAGTGGAGTGGCCAACAAGTGTGTGGAGGTGGTGGTGAGGTTTCCTCCCAGTGTGGTGGGCTGGGTGCTGTCAGCTCTGACCCCCCACTTCATGACCTCCCACCATCTATCAGAGGTGACTGTGGATGGCAGCCAGCTCACCCTCCTACAAGACTTCAGATATAACCTGGTATGTAGATGTGTACTTATGTGCATTTTATTTAGAAGGGGGTTTTGTGATGAAGTACCAAACAATACATTGAACACTGATCAAGAGTTTGTTTTGGAAGCCTTCAAAACGAAAATTTGCGAGTATTAGTATGGTGTTAGCATTTAACAGTTTGGTAGCTAGCTACTGTGTGTGACAATTTGTCGAAGGCTCAGGTGAACTTTCGGCGTGCAAGTGATACAGTTATGTGTGTTTATAGCAGCAGCCCTGACATCGCTGCAGTGAACGTTTTCAGCTTAGTAATTAAACGCTGACGCATCTCCGTATGTTGTAAGAGAAAGGTACATAGACATAATATTACTGTTGCTTTCTCCGCATGTGCATTTTACCAGTACACTTACACAAGTATGCAATTCCTTTTGCATCCAGGGTTTGTACATTAATGTCTCTCATTACGTTTATAAGGAAATACTAGCACGTTAGCACTTGCATGTACTCTGAAAAATCTTCACATCTCGCTCCCGGTCTCATGTTTGGTAGGCTGAAAATAGGAATGTGTGATGAGTGTGTAAGTGAGGAGAGGAATAAAGGTAGAAAGAAATCAATCTGGGGCATTCGAACCTTGCTTCCCGGCAAGTGCAACTACCACTGTGCTATACGAATGCCACGGATGGTAGGCAATGAAAATGAGTAATACTCTGCCGCAAGATCATTGTGCAAAAACTTTGTTCACCGGGTTCACTTAATTAAGAGTTATTGTTGCTCTAAAGAATGATGAGCTGATCAGCTGCTGTTAGAGAAGGAGATTGTGATGCGAGTTGTGGTCTCTTCTCAACAGTGGAGCTGATATTCAGACTGAGACCAAGTATGTTACATTATAATCACTAAGAAGTTCCAAAGTCACGCACAGAGCAGCAACCCACCTTTTATCACCTACGTGCTTCTTATGTCTTAGTGTAAGCACAGCAAAAGAATAATGATGGCATTAATTTTTTGTTAGTTCCGCACATCATGATACTGCTGTCTTGGTTCTCACTAGTCCACGGACTCCATTGCAATGGGCTAGTCAGTATGGTCATCTCCAAGCGGTCCGTCTTCTGATATCAAGGAGCTCAGCTCAACCACCAGGATGAGGTAAGACAGTGTCTGAGGGTGAACCCTTCCCACTGATGATCATGTCATTACTAAGCAATACTTGTGCAGGTGGAAACAGCACCACATGCGCATGTGTGGGTGTCAATGTCTAAGTCACATGGCTGAAAAAGCCTCTGGATTTTATTTCTCGGAAGTCATTATTATAATATCAATGTGTCCCCTTTTCAGAGATTTTGCTGGTGCAACTTCCCTCTACATTCTCTCTCCTCCCACTAGGTGGCTTATAATTGCTCCTCCATACGTACATTCTTAACAGGAGAAAAAAGCAGTGCTTGACTTCACCCAGAGCAAACGGTTCCTCGTCATTACGTGCAGTGGCATTTTGCTACTATGATATGTTATACGCAGACGATGTCTATAATATGGTCCTACGGTATAATTATACAGGACCACAGAAAATGGGTGGTTCTGAGCATTACGTATTTTTCTGACAACTCATTGGGCATTTTTCCAACATGGCCTATCTTATATCACGCAGGTTGGGACTTCTGCTTTGACTCAAGCAGCCAGGCATGGTCACACTAATATTGTTGTGGAGCTGGTGAAGGCAGGAGCCAAGTTGGACCTACAGATTAAGGTCTGAAACTACATTAGCCACTCGTACCCCTCTCAGAAAAATGAGCAGCCCTGACAAACATGCACACTTATTGTCACAAAAATACATAGATTTTCTGTGATGTATGGACTTGTTATGGTGTGTTGTTATATTAGCGTGTGTTGTTACTCGGCGCGCATGCGCAGCGAGTGTACAGTAGAGTTGGGTTTGTCTGTCTGTTGTCTGTTTTGTCTGTTACTCGCAATCTCACTTCTCGGGTGTCTGTTCGTCACAGAAACGATACCATCTACCCAACAGGCGACGAAGGTCAGAAAATATGTGGGGTTTTCTCTGAAAATGCTCCGTTGCAGAGCTAGAGCGCTTCCACTATTGTACGGCTAATGCGTAGTCGGCCATTTTTATCGCTGCGGAAATGCGCATGCGCTTATATCCTCGACCGGGTCCGCTTGTCTGTGTATCTTGAAGCACAAAGTCACACGAAGGGCGTGTATCGACCTCGCATACTCACCTACTACTGTAGCTAGCCCGTGTATTGCATCACCATTGCTGTATGTTCGGTATACTATGTATCGTGTGTATTCCTGGTAGTTGTACGCATGTCATGACATCATCCTACACATAGATTGGTGTGTTGTGCTTTGGCTTTGGGCCTTGTGTATTGATTTGAGCAGAAACAACTCGATCCTGCCCACGCCAGCACTAGGACGTTCATTTCCACCACAGACATTAGTAAACTAGCTATAAGTTACGAGAAAACTTGTTTTCACACAGAGTAAATTCTCCTGCCACTGTGTCTTATCTCCTTCAAACTCTCTCTAGTTGAAACTGGAGTCAAAATTCACTTCAGGGTCTGAAGCTACACTTGCCACTCCTCCACCTCTCCTCTTTGTCATAATCTTTAGAAATCTATTCTCATCTCTCCACAGAATGGAGACACAGCAGTCATATAGCTGTAAAGAGACATGATCCAGCCCTCTGAGGAGCTAGTAAGGGCAGAGAGTGACCTCACCCTCCAGAACCAGGTGAGATACACCGCTACTGTGGACACTGCACCACATACCATCTCCCCAGTCTTCATTATAGGAGGACTCCCTCCACTAATGATGCTGCCAGATTGAGACTGACATTACTAACATTCTACTGTAGGAGAAAACATCAACCTGGACTTCAGAGAAGGTGAGCAACCACAAGCAATGGGTGAAGCCAGCAGTATAAATCATGGCTACTGAGTTGGCTGTAACTACTCTCTATAATGCAGGGAACAGGATGGTCAGATCCCTCCATATCTCTTGCCGAGACAGGATACTCAGCTACCACAGTAGCAACTGCTCAAGGCAGAAGCTAATGCTCACCTCAAAGACACGTTTGGAATCTACAACAACACTTACTTTCTCCTCCATGAGCCAACCTAGTCCATTTTAGTTCACTGCGTGGTTAAGGTGCCTCTTTAGACATGCACAGTCTGGTTACCTGTAGCGTGTGCTAGGAATCGTTTACGGCGAAGCTAAATTGCGGTCGGCATGCCCCTACCCCTTTTTGCAGAGTGAGTCGTCGACCTGGTAGTGCGCAACGGACCCAAGCTCGCGCAGGTATGCAAGTTCCTTCACACTCTCTCTAGTTAACCCTTGCCCTCACATGCGCAGCGAGGGTTACAGTAGTTGGTTTGTCTGTCTCTGCTGTGTGTGTGTGCGTGTGTGTGTGTGGTTTGTTTGTCGACGCTTATCTGGCAGGCTACGAGGCGGCCTATTAGCGATACCAGCGGCTTCAGAACTACGCGAGCCTGAAAAGTAAAAGGGCGATTTTCCTGAAACGACTGCGTTTGAGAGATATGCCGTGAACACAAACGAAAAAGCCAATTATGCATAATCACACTGGCTTACGTGACCTGATCCGCTCGCTCTGTGTACCTTGGGGGCTCAGGAGTCACAAACAAATGGCATGTATCGACTCCCGCATGCTATCTACTACTGTAGCTAGCCTGTGTCAGACACAGCTCCGCGAGCTATATACAGCGGGAGACCACGAGTACAAATAGCCCAGCCCATCAATTAGCAGTATCATGCACGCGCAGTTTGCGGAGGGTTTGCACTTCAGTGCTTTTCATTTGAACTTGAGTCAGAATCCTCTTCTTGGTCTGAAGCTCCATACACATCTCAGACTCTTCGTGTCTGCTATGGGGTGGTATTCGTGTCAGTATTTCAAACGTCGATTTTGCCAAGGCATTTCCGTTTTGCCGCGGCAAATAAACTGCCGCGGCATTGCCCCGGCAAAACCTGGGCCGAAAAATCCGGGACATTTGCCGCGGCAAGAATAACTAGATGGGCCATGTTCAATCGTGTCAGTATTCTTGTCGTTGCCGGGCCTTTTGCCGCGGAATCTACTTGCCGCGGCACAATATTTGGCGCGGTGGTCACATGCTAGGCTCAGCTTCATAGCTAGAGATTCGGCCAGGGAGCTGGCCCCCGAGGCTGGAGAGAGAACTAGGTTTCTGCCTTCATGGATACGCTGGTAGACGATTTAGACCGCGCTGTTCAAGTTAGTGGTGACCACCGCCCCCCGGCCCCGCCCCATCCCCACCCCACCCGCGTGCCAGTCGTCATCTAGTGTGCTCGATCCGCTCGCTGCTGCCGCGCCAAATATTGTGCCGCGGCAAAAGGCCCGGCAACGACAAGAATACTGACACGATTGAACATGGCCCAGCTAGTTATTCTTGCCGCGGCAAATGTCCCGCATTTTTCAGCCCAGGTTTTGCCGGGGCAATTGCCGCGGCAGTTTAATTTTGCCGCGGCAAAACGGAAATGCCTTGGCAAAATCGACGTTTGAAATACTGACACGAATACCACCCCATAGTCTGCAGACATGTAGTTATCTATTCCTTCTCATCTCTCCACAGAATGGAGACACAGCAGTCATAATAGCTGTAAAGAGTTGTCATCCAGCCACTCTGAGGGAGCTAGTGAGGGCAGGGAGTGACCTCAACCTCCAGAACCAGGTGAGATACACAGCTACTGTGGACACTGCACCACATATCATCCCCAGTACTCCATGTTAGGAGGGACTCACTCCACTAATGATAGCTGCCAGGAGTTGGAGAACTGACATTACTAACATTCTACTGGAGGGAGAAAACATCAACCTGGACATTCAGGAGAAGGTGAGCACCCACAGAGCAATGGGTGAAGCCAGCAGTATAAATCTATGGCTGCCACCTGAGTTGCTGTAACTACTCTCTCATAATGCAGGGAACAGGATGGTCAGCCCTCCATTTCTCTGCTGAGACAGGAAACTCAGCTACCACAGTAGCACTGCTCAAGGCAGGAGCTAACCCTCGCCTCAAAGACAAGGTTTGGGAATCTACTACAAACCCTTACTAGGCTGGGCAAATAGTATAATAATTATGTGTTTACTCGTGGTCTCCCGCAAGTAGCTCGCAGAGAGTCTGACACGGGCTAGCTACAGTAGTAGTAGCATGCGGGAGGTGATACACGCCATTTGTTGTGACATGCCTCCAAGGTACACAGACCCGGTCGAGGTAAGCCTGTGCTAATTTGCACATTGGCTTGTTCACTTGCTTTTCACACCATAACTTTCTGTCTGTTAAAGGGTGTCATTAGCATCCCCTTTGCACATTGCTTGTGTGCTGCTCCTTCCCTTTTTGAAACTTGAGTCTAATCCACTTTTCGAAGCTACACTTGCAGCTCTCAGACATAATCTGCGGAAATCTATTCACATCTCTCCACAGAATGGAGACACAGCAGTCATAATAGCTGTAAAGAGACATGATCCAGTGACTCTGAGGGAGCTAGTGAGGGAAGGTAGTGACCTCAACCTCCAGAACCAGGTGAGATACACAGTTACTGTGGACACTGCACGACATATCATCCCCAGTCTTCCATATTAGGAGGGGCTCACTCCACTAATGATAGCTGCCAGGAGAGGGATGGCTGACATTACTAAAATTCTACTGGAGGGAGAATACATCAACCTGGACATTCAGGAGAAGGTGAGCACTCCCAGAGCAATGGGTGGAGCCAACTGTCTATGGCTGTCACCTGAGTTGCTGTAACTAATCTCTCGTAATACAGAGAATTGGACAGTCGGCTCTCCATTTCTCTGCTGTGATAGGAGACGCAGCTACCATAGAAGAACTGCTCTTGGCAGGAGCAAATCCTCACATCAAAGACAAGGTTTGGGAATCTACAATAACCCTTACTTTCTCCTCCACGAGCCCACCTATATAGTCCATTTTAGTTTCACGGCATGGTGCTTTTATTTTATTGGTCGTTTCTTTTCTCTATTGGTGAAGAATGGGGTAACAGCAATGGAGATTACTGAACAAAGAGCTCAATATGGCCTTGAGTCCGAGACATTGGCAATGGGAGAGATGATGAGTCAGGTATATATGCTATAGCAAAATTTATCAGAGCGCTAGGTACATAATGTCTCATAAGCCAAATTTCCTGATTTCCAGGGCTCAGGTAAACACAAATAGCCGATCTAAATACGTATAATTATGTATTGTTATAAACGGCATGGAGATAGATGACAGTTGGTTAGCCATAAGCGAGTTTGAATAATTGGCGAGCGGGAGCGAGCCAACCTAGTCGTTCGTTCGAGCGGAATTTTCTGTGTATATATATATATATATATATATATAATATACTAGTAGGCGAATGCATGGCATTTTTGGCGAGCGGAAGCGAGCTTACAAATGGGGTCTAATCGTATGAGTCACTCTTGTGTGTGCACAAAACACATTGCACAGGACCAAGTAGGCCGAAACAACCTTTTAGACCCGAGCGCAGTAGACAATTCGAGTCGAGTCAAAAACAGTCAAACGACAGCGCGAATCAGGCATAATCCGGCAAGCTCTCGCTGGACTGTGCAGCAATTCTCGATAGCTTCGGAGGTTCGAGCCTGCCGTGTTGCGTTTCCCCTGATTCCGCTCGATTCAGGCAGCATATGAAAATTTTGAAATCCCTTTCGGATAAAAAGAAGCGCGTAATGCTGGAGCATGCGCAGTTGGACGACGTACGGTGACATATATATTATATGTGTCACCGTACGTCGTCCAACTGCGCATGCTCCAGCATTACGCGCTTCTTTTTATCCGAAAGGGATTTCAAAATTTTCAGGTGCGAGAGTGCTGCGCATGCTAGCGATCGCAGCTTGGAACCACGAAGACTGGAAAGAGGTACAGCACCTCCGAAGCTATCGAGTATTGCTGCACAGTCCAGCGAGAGATTTTTACATTGCACTTGTTCCCTATTCCTGCAAGACCAATCAGATTGCCGGATTATGCCTGATTCGCGCTGTCGTCTGACTGTTTTTGACTCGACTCGAATTGTCTACTGCGCTCGGGTCGTTTCGGCCTACTTGTCCTGTGCAATGTATCTCACTGTTTTGTGCACACACAAGAGTGACTCATACGATTAGACCCCAATTGTAAGCGCGCTTCCGCTCGCCAAAAAATGCCATGCATTCGCCTACTAGTATATAGAAAAATCGCGCCGTTCGGACCACTAGGTTAGCTCGCTTCCGCTCGCCGCGCCAATAATTATGCGTTCGTATATACGTCGTGTAAGTGCGCATGCGCGGCTTTGTACGCGCTTCTTTTTATCCGAAATTATTTCCAACCTTTTACACATTTTCACACACATGCCTCGCGATATGCGCCGATCTAGCGAGCCAGAGAACTCTCCTCTATTCGACGGCATGCTCTGCAACCTTCGGTGACTGAGCGAGGCTATACCTCTTTCCAGTCTTCGTGGTTCCAAGCTGCGAATACGCTAGCATTGCTCGTGCACATACTGCTGCATGCCAGCTACATGATGGACGTTGTCGGGCAGCCCGATCGATCGCTGCCTAGCCTACTGCCATGCCAGCTGCCTGGTGGACCACGACAGACAAGCTGAAAGCGTGCGTTAAGGACCGTTCTGCTCACCTGCTCACCGTTCTGGCAATATACAATACGCATGTAACGGCGACAGGTAGATCTGTCTTGCTTCACGAAAGGAAAGCTGTGCGCCGACGGCACGTTATGCAGCCCGAACATCGCAGACAAATCCCAAGTTGGGTCGCTCCTGCTCGCCAACAATGTTCAACATTTCCACTAGTATGGGTTACACTGTATCTTTAATTCCCATGCAGAGTGCTATGAGACAACTCAAGTCGGAGAGCAAAGATATTGAAGGAGATGATACTAGTTCATCATGTAGATTTGTAATCATCTGTCACCATAATTGGCGAGCGGGAGCGAGCCAACCTATATAGTCGTTCGTTCGAGCCGATTTTGTTATTTATCGTCGTTCGTACGTCGTGTAAGTGCGCATGCGCGACTTTGTTGTATAAACGCGCTTCCAAATGTTTACACATACACACACCGCGGTGCCTCGCGATATGCCCCGATCGATCTAGACTACTATATAGCCAGCGAGAGAACTCTCCTCCATTCGACGGCATGCGCTGCAACCTTCGGTGACTGACCGAGGCTGTAGCTCTTCCCAATCTTCACGGTTCGAAGGTGCAACTTGCTAGGATTGCTCGTGCACATACTATACTGCAGCTGCATGCCAGCTGGACCACGCCTGACGAGCTGAAAGCGCGCGTAAGGTAAGTACCGTTCTGCTCACCTGCTCAAAGTTCTGCCAATGTACAATACGCATGTAACGGCGACAGGTAATCTGTCTTGCTTCACGAAAGGAAAGTTGTGCGCTGACGGCACGTTATGCAGCCCGAACATCGCGGGAAAATCCCAAGTTGGGTCGCTCCCGCTCGCCGCGCCAACAATGTCCACTATACTAGTAGATAGTGTATTGTTATTGCACATTGTCCGTGTATGATCACGAGACGTCACGTATGATGATGTTGTTGAGCTAGCTTGAGACGCGACGAGACCGCGTGTGTGTGTGAGCAAGCGGCTATCGAAGTGTACTAGCCAGGAGTCGGTAGGCCGTTACAATCGCTCGCACGTCTCAAGTTAAAAGAACAATAGCTCGAGTCTTAGGGCAAAGATCCCACAGCAGGATGTTTTTTTCTTCACCAAGCCGCCAAGATGCTGCATCTTTTTTAG